GTCTCCCAGATCTCCAGGAATCTGGTGATGTTCTGGGGGAGTGCCCCCATCCTTCCAGCTCATCTCTTGACCTTTCCCTTTACTTCTCACCAGGCCCTCTGGCCCCCTCCCTGTCTCTCTATACCCCCTTCGCCTCTGGCCCCGTCCCCTCTCTCCTCCCTCTCCCCGCTTCCCTGCCTGCCTCCCTCTCTGCCCGGCTGCAGTTGGGTGATAATCTCCCTCATTTAGCCTCCCGGCTGCTTCCCCGGCTCATTGCCCAGCTGGTCCCTGGGGCCCGGCCCAGCTTCTTCCCCACCCCCACCCCAGCCCTGCGCCCAAGCTCCCCCACCCCTCCCTGCTTCCCCCACCCACTCCCGGGGGACCAGCTGCCCCTTGCAGTGAGGCATCAGGGACAAGTGTGGCTGGCCAGGCCCTTAGCTGGGTGTGAGCAAAGGGGGCGGGGCTGTTAGGGACCCTGGACTGCGAGTGCGGGGGGAGCTGGGTGTTGCGGGGTCAGAATGTGAAGCCTCATCCCAGGTTCCTCTGCTCTCCGGTTGTCCCCATTCCTCAGATTTATTCCCAGTCCAGTTCACCCGCCTCTGCCCCCCAGGGGATGAGCTTCCTGACAGTGAGAATGAGTGGTAGTTGGACTGGGATGAGGTTTGGTAACGGGGCCAGGTGGGGGGCGCGTGCAGAGCGGGAGAGAGACAGGGAGAGCATGGAGATTTTGTTTGGGCAAAATGCCCTAAAGGCAGACCCAGAAACCTCCCAGGATCCAACTTGGGGGGTTCCAAGGGCGCTTTCTCAAAGCACAGGAACCCCCAAACTGATACCCAGATTCCTTGCCTGGCTGGCCCCATTCATAAATGCTATGACCCCCCGAATTCCTAGACAGCATTCTCCTAAAGGTGCCCAGCCTCCCCCTGCGCGCAGAGGACACCCTCCCCAGCCCAGACACCTGGCCCTGGTGCGGACCAAGTGGTGAGCCAGTGTGGGACAGATGTGGGCGGGAAGGGACCAGGAATGGGGGGCTGGGGCCGGGGCTGGGCCAGGCCTGGCTGGTGAGCACACAGCGGTGACAAACGGGCTGTGCGGGGGCCGAGGGGCGGGGGGCGGACGGTGGCTGATTTATCTGGGTTATTTATGCCGTGGACGAGGCAGGAGAAGCGGTTAATGAGAGTCCCAGCGAAGGGGGGTGGGGAGGCCCGAACGTGATCTGAGGCGACTGAAGAGGGTTAGCGTCCCGCCACCAGGCCCTGCCCCCACTGTCCGCCAGTACTCCCTGCACCCCCACCCCATCCTCCTAGGGCCAGCCCAGCCCAGCACCTTCTCCCGAGTCTCATACCAACACCTCCCATCTCCTTTCAGGTACTCCCAAGCCGAGGCAACGGGTCCCTGGGACTATAAGGACACCAGGTCCAAGACCAGATGGGGGCATCAGGAGGAAGTGGGGAAGACACCAGGAAAGGGAGGGCAGGAAGATGAAAAATCCTGGCTGGCCAGAAACTAACAAAGTCCGTGGGGCCTGCAGGGGAGGGCTGGGATGGACACAGCCATCGTGGGAGTGGGTGTGCAGCTGACAGCCTCAGAGCTGAGGCTGTGGAGGGCAAAGGGCATGGGGTAGAGAGGTGCTGTCAGCCAGTAGCCACAGCGGGGGCCTGAGTGGCAGAGACAGGCTGGCCGGGAGGGGGTGCTGGTCAGAGAGCGGAGACAGCCAAGGAAGGAGGGGAGAAGATCCAGGAAGGAGGGGGAGAGGGCTTTGCAGCAGTGAAAGCTGCTGGGAGCAGATAAGGCGGCACAGCAGCAGGAGGGATTAGAGCTCAGAGGGGAATGTGGGGAGCGGCGTGGGATGGGGGGGCAGGGAGGAGAAGGTTGAGGGCAAGACACTAGGGCCAAGGAGATAAGTGGGAAAAGTGAGGGCTGTGAAGGTGGCAGGGTTTCATCAGGGGCCAAGAGGCAGTCATCGACGGGGAGAGGAGAGAAGGAATTCCTGATCCTTCTCTCCTGTTTTGGGAGAGGGGGACCTTTCTGCCACTGACGGAGCCCCTCCTCCACTACACCCCATGCATGTCGGGGGCAGCAGAGAGACGCACTACCAAGGGTTGAGAATGGGGGGGATTTTGGGGTGAGGGCAGTGGCAGGGGCCAACCCTAGCAGCTGAGCTGAAGGCTAGACTGAGAACACACAGCACCCCCTTGAGGTGGCCAGTGGAGCACAAGGGTGCTGCAGCGATCAGTGCTGGCACCGAAACCTTGTAGTGCCCAGGCTGTGGCAAAGATCAGTTTCAGAGGGGGCTTCTTCATGGGGAGGGGTGTGGGCTTGGAAGGAGGGCAGATGGCTTCCTAGGGATCATGCCTCAAACTCTAACACCCCTCACCACCCCCCGCCCTCCTGCTCTCTGAGCCTCCCAGGATGTACTTGGGGTGGGTGAGGCCCCCCACTCCCTCCAGACCAGAGCCCAGGGCAGTTCAGAGGTGGCCATGGCGGCAGAGGGGAGCCTTGGGGAAGGAAGGGGAGCAGGAAGGGCTGGGGGAGGGGAGCGGGGGTGGCGGGCGGGGCCGGGTAATTGCATGTTTGCCAGTTCTCCTGTCTCTGCACACAAGGGAGCGTGTGTCGGTGGGTGTAGCTTCGCCTCAAGGAGTATGTGTCTGTTGGCAGAGGTGTCAGTGTGTCTGTCTCAGGGGTTTGGGTTCTCCTTGGCCCCCGCCCACCCCTTTCCCCCCTTTGTGTTTTGGGGAGTGCAGCTCTGGGAACACCCAGCTGTGCTCCGTGCGGATGCAGCAGATGTGGCGGGGCCCCAGCTGTGCCTGCTTCCCGGAGAGGGGGAGGGGGCTGCAATCTGCTCCCCCGATAATGGCTGCTAAGTGCCAGGGGGAGGGGATTGAGATGGAGGTGGGACTGGGTCCCCCAGCAGCTTGGCTGAGGGGACGGGAGGGAGATGAGGGCTCTGCCCCCACCCCACCCTGTCCTGGCCAGCCTCCCCCAAGTCTGTGTTCTTGGCTCAGCCTTTCCCCCTTGGCTTGCTCCTGAAGCCCATCCAAATTTCTCTCCACACTCTGTCCCTGTCCCCGGCTCTCCTCTCCTGTCGCCCCATCCAGCTTGGTGCCAGGGACCCACCCCCCTCCCCGGCCCCCAGTTTGCTCCCCCTCGCTGATTTTACAGAATAATCTTTTTATGGAAACTGAAAAAAGCACTAATGGCAGGAGCGCACCCCTCCCCCGCATCCCTCCCCCGCTCATCCCCCACTTCCCACCCCAGTTCCCTCTTGCTTCTCCCTTCCCAGACCCTCCCCGGGCCAGTGCCCTCCTACTGCTACACGGCCAGTGACAGTTGGGCACAGGGTCCCAGCAGCGGTGGACAAGGGGGCTCCCTGCACCCTGTCCAGGGGCAGGTGCTCCATCTTGGGTCTCTCAGAGATGGATGGGACTGTAGGCCCCTCCCAGCACAGAAGTGGGATGGGGAGGAGTGGGGGCGCATGTCCTTAGACGCCCCCCAACCACGGTGACTGCTTCAACCTGGGGGGCATGTTACAAAGACCTCAGCTTCACTAGCGACACCCCCCTTCAAACACTGACCCTTTCCCCTTCCAGTGCCTTTCCCCACCGTGTCCCCCCCACACTGGGTCTAGGAGGAGGATCCCGGGGGCCAGGGTCTGACACAGACTTACTGGATTTCACGGTGTTTTGCTGAGAAAATAATTAAATTATCATATTTATGATAGAGCTGCCATGGCCTCTGCCAACCACTCGGAACAGAAGGGTCAGGACTTGGGGGGAGGAAAGGGAAGGGACCTAGCTCCTGGTCCTAGGGCCCACCCTCTCCCAGCCCCTTCCTTGGGGTGATGACCCCAGCCCAGAGTGGGGACCTGCAGCCCCTCCCACTCCCACGAAGAGAGATAATGAAGGTCTGGGCTGGAGGCCGGGACAGGAGGAACTGAGGAACTAGGGACAGCTTATAGGTCAGGACTGCTACACCATGTAGATTATTCCCCACACACTGGCGCAGAGCCCACGGGACCTGAGGGACCTGGGAGGTCATATCTAGCCCAATCCCCAAGTCACCCTCAGTCCAGCTCCTGAGAAAGTGCAGCTTCCTAACTGCTGGGCTACGAAGCTATGAAACCCTGGGCTCTGTCCCGGAGCCTGGTGCTGATAACAAGGCCCCGGCACCCTGCCGCCTGCCACCCCTGCCTACTGCCAGGACCCCCTCCTTTCTCCCACCCACGCCCTGCACCCCCCATTCTCTTCGGGTAATTAGATTCCTCTCAATTAGCAGATTACGATCATTACCAGCTCATCTGGCAACACAGCTCTGCACCCACAGCTGGGGAAGGGGGGCACCGAGAGGGGCACATGGGGGTCATGGGCAAACATGAGAGATGGCTGGGAGAGGAGGGCTGAGGCCTCCCAAAGGGCAGGGCCAGGAGGACAGGAGGTGGTGAGGGCCTTCCCAGAACAGGGTGCCTCCCACTGTGCTTCGAAGAGAATGGCACCAGCTCAGGCCCACCCAGCCTGCCAGGGGAGTGGAAGACAGAGACATGAGGCCTGGCGTAGAGGCGAAACCCCCACCCTGCCAAAAGCCAAGCTGGGAGCAGATGGAGCTGGCAAAGCGGAAAACCGGCCAGGGCTGGGCTCGGCAGGAACTGAGCAGAGCGGGTTGTCGGGATCAGCCTCTGGGCCTGTGGCCCCAGTTCCTGTGCCCGCTGCCCAACCGAAATCCTTCACCCTTCCCTTCGGAATCCTTGCACATGGGGGCCTGAGCCAGGCTCCGTGGGGAGGAACAGGGAGGCAGGAAGGCAGGGGCAAAGGCGGGGGCCAGGCAGGCTGGGGAGCCTTGAGGGCCTTCCTCCCGAGCAGCGCACGAGGCTGAGGCAGTGGGAGGGGGAGATTTACCAGGGCTCCAGATTCATTATTCATGAGCCCGCAGCAACGACTCCAATTTAAATGCTAATGTGGGGGGGCCTGACTCAGCTGCCCTGCTTCCGCCCCCACCCCCAGCCCAGACATAAGTAGAGTCCGTGCTGGCTCCAAGGTTCATGGGGTTTATTAGGGAGTCGGGAGGGAGAAAGCCCAGGAGTCCCCAGGCCACCCACATTGCTCCCCGGCGTGTGACGATCCTGCCTGGCTTTCTCTGGTCCTTTCTAGACAGAGGCTGGCCAAGCAGGAGGCAGCCTCAAGGGGAGCGGGTAGGAGCTGGAGGCCTTCTGGCAGCCCCACTCAGAGGATGATCTGGTTGGTGAAGCTTCGGCTCAGCTCCTTGTGTGGCAGAACAATCGAGTTCAGGATGAGCACCTCGGCAGGGATCCGGACTCGGCAGCCTGCGGCGTGGATGAGGGCATCAGGGGAGGTCATGGGAGGGGAGACAGGAGCAGGGAGCTGGGGGCCACTGCCAGCAGGGAGGGACCCCTCCTGCCCATCTGTGCCCCTGGCCTCATGCCCCTGGTGACTCACACAGGGCCTGGCACACAGCAGGCCCCTGGTAACTGTTTGCTCAAAGAAGAAACACGCGTGCACACAAGAGGAATGAATGCTCCCCAGAGTCACTGGCCATCAGCTGTGGGGTTCCCCCAGCCCTGGCCCCCAGGAAGCCATACCCAGGATGGTGATGGCAGGCAGCAACTTCCCATCCTTGAAGAGGCTCTCACTGTCCATGCGGGCTCGGGGATCATTGGGGTTGGGGTCATTGGGGGTACCCTCCACGCGGGCCCAGCGTCCCACGGTGCTCCCCCAGCCCACAATGCTATGCAGAACACACGTGTGCTCCTGCCAAAGAGGAGGGTGAAAAGTAAGGGGAAGGGGTAGGAGGCAGCAGGAACCGGAAGGTGTGAGGTGGGGCCAGATGCAGACCCCATGGCGTTCACCCTTCTCTGTTCTTGGGGGGATACCTGGGCCCTCCCCGCAGGCTCTTGGGGTGTCACATGCGGCTGTGTCTGCTGGTGCCTACCTGTAACGTGGCTCCATGGAGGACAATGCTCTCCCGGAGCCGCACACCCTCACCCACGGTCACCCCCTTCCCGATGGAGACGTTGGGGCCCAGCTGTGGAGAGAAGCACACACCATAAGCCCTGGAGGGACTTGGAGGATCCCCAAATCCAACTCCCTTCTAGAACAGATAAGGCAGAAGCGACCTGCTCGAGGCCACACAACAGGCTGTGACAAAGTGGAGAAACCAGCACCCAGAACTCAGGCAGTGTGGGCACCCTCCATCCATCCGACCACCACCCTCCCCTCCCTGGGGCTGGGCCCAGCACTCACCACAGCCGAGGGGGCCACCTTGGCAGTCGGGTGGATGTACACATTCCCTAGAAGCAGAAGAGAGGCCCTGGGGGCAAATATCCCAAACCGAATTTGGATCAGGGAGGGGCAGGGATTGAGGCTTCAACTCTGGACTCGAGGTCAAGAAACCTGGTTCAGAGGGCAGAGGGGCTGGGGTGGAAGCCAAAGGTTAGGAATTGGGGCAGGTTGGGTACCTCGGATCCGTGGGCCCCCTGGGGTGTGCTTGGCCAGCCGTTCTGGGTGAGTATCCTGGTATCGGCTCAGGTAGAGGCGGGAGGCGTAGAGGGCTGAACTGGGGGCCACAAGGGGGGCAGGGGCTCAGGGGTCAGCAGGGCCTGTGCCCACCACCCCAAAGTTTCAATCTCCAAGGGATCCAGCCTTCCATACCCGGCGGACTTGATCTGGCTCCAGATACCATCAGTGAGATGCACGTATATCTGGCCCTGCCCTGCCAGGGCTGAAAACACATCCTGCTCTAGGCGGATGGTACCTGCCCCTGGCCACAAGCCTGGTGAGTCCTCCCTGGCAGAGAGGAAGAATGCTGACATCAGTCCCCCGGCTGAGCCCCGGCTGTGGGGCTAACACAGTCTCCCGGGGACAGGAGTGGGAGGGATTCCCACCACCTCTCTAAGCCCCTCTCTCCAGGTCTGGTCCGGTCCTCTCCAAAGGGCTGCTCTCATCCCAGGAAACTCTCCCAGCCAGCCCCAGCTCGGGTGGGTGCTATCACAAGGGAGCCCCAGGCAGAGGCCTGCTTCCCATCCCTGCCCCATTTCCAGAAGGAGTTCCCCCCATTTTCACATTCTCGTCCCCATTCAGCCCTTTACCCCCTCCAAGTTACCCTCCCACTCATTGGATGGAATGAAACACAGACAGACTCACCCCAGAGCAAGGCAGCTGGTGAGGGCAGAGACAGTCACAGAAAGAGAGGGAGAGAGAGATGGTAGATGCCAGCTCAGCAGAGACAGAGACAGAGAGGCCAGGAGAGATGGAGAGGGAAGCAGAGACACGGGTGGGAGTGAGAAATGGCTATGAGGGGAGGAGGCCTTACATGGGGCGATGTGGGGGTAAGGCAAGGATCCCTAGAAGGGAACAGCTTCTAGCCCTAGGAGGGAAGACCCTGGGACTGGCGAGCAGGGCTCTAGGTGCTCTGTTCCAAGAGGAGCCTCAGCCTGAGAGTGTGCATGTCTGTCTGTGTGTGCACGTGCACACGTCTGCACCCGAGCGTGTGTGCGCCCAACTGTGTGTTGCCGTCTGTTCTGAAAGACGTCTCTGGGACACTCAGGGCTTGGCAGAAATGGACCAGAAGGGGAGTGGGCAGGCAGTGACAGAGGAGGAACTGGGATGGATAAGGAAGAGGGACAGAATGAGGTTAGAAGGGGAGGGACTCAGGAGGCTCTGCTGGAGATGGCAAGTGGAGAAGGGAAAGGGGAGGAGGAAGGTGAGCAAGTTGAGATGGAGCCTGCAGAGACTGGTATGTGTTGGGGTCCGTGACTGGGGGTACTTGGGGTCACAGGGCTATGGGGCCTGCCTCACAATTGCCCATCCTGCTGATTACGCTGGAAGACATCCCGAAGAGGCTTCAGGGCTTCAGGAGAAAAGAGGTAGATGCCGCAGTTGATGATGTCACTGATAAATGTGCTGGGTTTCTCCACATAGTGCAATACCTGTGAACAGAGCAGGCTGGCTTCAGTAGAAAAAGGGACTACTGCCACAGTCCCCTAAGACCCTCTGATTTCCAGGCCCTTCCTGCCTCTCCTCCCTGCTGCCAGGGTGGCCTGGCTAAAATGCAGTGCATGTCCGCAGCCTACTGCTGCCTGGCTTTAAACCCTGAGATGACTGCCCTTCACCTGATTCACCTTCAGATAAGTCCAAAGTCCATGGCTTTCCCTGCCTGATCCTCCCCACCGCCTACCTCTCAGACGCGTTTCCACCCGACTGCATGCCTGTACCTGGAATGGCCTTTCTCATCTCTTCATCTGGAAAGCCCACCTTTCCAAACCCAGTTGACACGGTCACTCTCTCTGTGCGTCCTCTCTTGCTGGCCCCAGAGTTAGCTATTCATGCCTGGGCACTCCTGAGCTCTGGCCACGCCTCACCCTTGGCATTGTATCATTTGCAAAGGTTGGCTTTTGATTCTGTCACTCCTATTAGACTAATGGTGCCCATGAGGCAGGGGCTGCACCCATTTGGCTCTGTTTCTCTCACACCTACCTGGTGCTTAGCACAAAACTATCTATGTGTATGTGTGTACATGCATGTGTGTGTGAGTGTTTATATGTATGTTTTATATTAAAGCACGAACAAATAAAAGGGGTATGTGAGACCAGGTATGGTGGTGGCTCATGCCTATAATCCTAGCACTTTGGGAGGCTGAAGTGGGTGCATCACTTGAGCGCAGGAGTTCGAGACCAGTCTGGGCAATGTGACGAAACCCTGACTCTACTAAAAATACAAAAATTAGCCAGGCATGGTGGCACATGCCTGAATCCCAGCTACTCAGGAGGCTGAGGCAGGAGAATGGCTTGAACCCAGGAGGCAGAGACTTCAGTGAGCCGAGGTCACACCACTGCACTCCAGCCTGGGCAACAGGCTAAAAAAATTTAGCTGGGCGTGGTGGCTCACACCTATAGTCCCAGCTACTTGAGGGGCTGAAGTGGGAGGAGAATGGCTTAAACTTGGGAGGTCGAGGATGCAGTGAGCCAAGATCGAGCCAAGATCGCACCAAGATCATGCACTCCAGCCTGGAAGACAAAGTGAGACCCTGTCTCAAAAAATAAACAAATAAATAAAGGAGGGAGGGCTATGTGAAAGTCAAGAGGAGTAGGAGAAGGGAGTTTCACAAACCAGGAGAGAGCCCTGCTACCTAGCCTATCATGTTCCTGCCTCCGGTATGTTATTTCCTACCTCCAGGCCTTTACACCTGCCATTCCCTCTGCCTGTAATACCTTCCTGTCTCTGTCATGTAGACAAATGGGACTCCGCTCAGACCTTGCTTCCTGCAGGAAGCCCTCCCTACTCCTACCCTGGCAAGGCTGGGCTGGGCCCCGCCTTGGTGTTCCCATTATGCACTGTGCATACATTTATTACAGCACCACCTGCAGGAAAATTAACCATTCCCCCCTCCCCCTGGTCAATCTCTCTTAAAGGGATGTAAGATGATTAATCGGGAGCGTCTCACCTGTCTGACAAGACTAGGGCCCACCCCATACTGTGCCAGCATTCTCTAGAGGCCTGAGGTAGAGGGGATGATGACACAGAGTAGGCGCCCACCCAGCCCCCTCTCCGCTCTCACCTCATGTGTCTGTGGATTCTCAACGATGCAGCCGTAGTTGAGGGACTGCGTCCTGTTAGCCTGAAAGACAGACACACCCGAGATAGTGACCTGCCTGCTCCAGGGCAGCCACCTCTGTTTTTCCTTTCTTTCCCTCCCCTACAGCACCTGGCATGCAGCTCTGCCACTGACAGGCCTTCAGCAAGGGTGGAAACTGACAGCTGCCCTCCCCCTCCCTACTTCTAAACAGCCAGAGGGCTCGGGGTCTCCACTAACACCTCCATGCCTGCCAGAGCAGCGCATCTCCCTCCTGACACCAGCTCCCACACCAACGCCCAGGGTGCCCCTGCCTCCCCAACACCCTGAATTCCAGGAAGCTCTTGGGGTCACCTCCTCTACACCCTCCAGTCCTCCTGACCCCCTCACCGTAGTGCCAAGGAGTAAGAAAGGGTGACGCTGGCGTCGGTGGGCTTCCAACATAGCACTCAAGGGGAAGTCAGAGCAGACATCAGCATTAAGCACGAAGAATGCCTCGGGGCTCCCAGCCAGGATCTGGTCTCGAAAATGGTAGAGACCACCCCCTGTGCCTAGGGGGGCAAATTCCTGCAGGTACCTGTCCCCAGGGACCCAAGAGCCAGCTCAGTGGATCTTAGGAAACAGACACCATGAGCCAGGGCACCTGACCCCCACCGCCTGCTCCCAGGAGTACTCCTGCCCAAGGCCCACAGAGAAACTCTATATATTCAGGGATTCAGTGATGTCCAAATAAGAATCCTTCTACTAGGTGAGGATGAACTCTGGCAAATGCTGACTCAACCCACTCCCAAGAATTCAGAGGCCTAGGGCATCCTCCCCACCCCCATATATGAGTGTGTGCACAAACACCTGACTGGAAGGTTAAACTCCTGCTGGGCGGCTTCTAGGAACTGGGTGAGGGGCTCATCAGGTTGGTAGAAGCCAATGAGCAGAATCTCCTGCATCCCAGGGACCTGAGGAAAAGGGAAAGGCTGGGAGGAAGAATGTCTAACAGGAGGTGATGTTGGGGAAATCCTTAGGGCTGGCCCAAAGTCCAGAAACCAGTTTTAGTCTCAGCTGTGGGGTCCCAGGGCACTCACCACTCTGGGCTATTTTCTCCTCTGGACAATGAGGAAGTTGGAGGAAGTCGGAGGCCTGATCTTTTTTTGTTTTGTTTTTATGAAAAAAGGTCTCGCTCTGTTGCCCAGGCTGGAGTGCAGTGGCATGATTTTGGCTCACTACAGCCTCCACCTCCTGGGCTCAAGCGATCCTCCCACCTCAGCCTCTCGAGTTTCGAGGACTACAGCCATGTCACCACCTGCCTCAGCCTCTAGAGCAGCTATGACTACAGCCAGGCCACCACATCTAGCTAATTTTTAAACTTTTTGTAGAGAAGGGGTCTCTTGATGTTGCCAAGGCTAGGCTAGAACTCCTGGCCTCAAGCGATCCTCCCAACTTGGCCTCAAAAAGTGTTGGGATTACAGACATGAGCTACCATGCCAGGCCTGATCTTTCAATCAATTATTATTACCCCCACCAACCAGAACTGGGACTCACTCTAAGAAAGACTTTGCCTACCAAGCTGCATTAATCCATTCCCCGCCCCCCGCCCTCATTTTTATTATCTGTCAGCTTAAGCTTGAGATCAGCATGAGGTAAGGGTACCATGTATCAAGGGTCTGTGTTGTACTAGGCATTTTACAAATGTCATTTCTAAGCTTCACCACCCAACAAAGTAGGTCTAATCTCCCCCATTTTACACATAAGGAAACTGAGTGTCAGAGAGGGTGTGTTATTTGTTGCAGGCCTCACAGCAGGCAGAGACTGAATTCAAACCAAAACCTTGCCTGTCTCAATACGAAAAGCAATAAAGAAATGAGCATCACGGTGATCAAGGATATGAATTTGTGCCTGGTTATCATTAAGAGTCTCCATGCTACGGCTTTACATTGTCTCCAAGATCCTTGCCTGATCTCACATTCCATACTTTAAAAATAGGAGTGAAATCTGAGCAGGAAGAGGCCAGATGAGAAACTAGATTAGGGGAAGACAGCAGGGCAGCTGCACAGCATAACTTGAGGGGGCGCCATTCACATTGTCATCTGTGAATGATGGTCCTTGGAGTTATGCCTGGTGGGAAGAGATTATGGTTGGGAAAGGGGGAAACATAGCATGAAGATGAGCAGGAAGTGAGGGGAGAGAGGGGAGCCCCTGAGGTTACCTGGGCACAGGCTTCAATATGATGTTGGATCATAGGGACCCCTGCCACAGGAAACAGTGGTTTGGGCACCTCAAAAGACAAAGGTCTGAAGCGAGTTCCTGGGAGAGGAGAGAGAACGTTTTGGCTTCCTGCCTTCCTCTGCCCCCATTCTGCCTACCACACCAGCCCAACCTCCTCCCCCCATTCCCCTGGCACCTCACCCTTTTGAGGGCCTCCAATCAGGATCACCGCTTTGAGCATGATGGTGACTGCTACCTAAACTTCAAATCCCAACAGAGAAATCAAGCTCAGATCTCATACCCCAACCAAGCCCCAAAACCCAAATAGCAACACTTAACCCTCTCCCAAGATGTAAACCCAAAGCTCAATATAGTCTCTGCCTGGACCCAACACCTCACAAATCCCACACATCTCAAATCCCAGCGGAGAAATCAGGCTCAGATCTCACACCCCAACCAAACCCCAAACCCCAAATAGCAGCACTTAGCCCTCCCCCAAGATGTAAACCCAAAGCTCAATATAGTCCCTGCCTGGACAGAACCTCACAAATCCCACACATCTCAAATCCCAACCCAGATTCCAGTCGGCCTTCAAACCTCACAGTGATTCCTCCCAAATTCTGAAATTCACGCCCCACAATTTGATCTCTAAAAGACTTCCCTCTGGCCATGAACAAATTCTGCAAATTCAGAAACCTGGCAGAGACCCCCTTCTCAGACCCAAACCTCAAAATACTGAAGCCTCAAACTCACTGATTCCCAAAGTGTTGTGTCTTCATTCTAGATATTAAGCCCTGAATCCCAGTAGTGAACCCTGAATATTGAACAGCAAATCCCGAGTGGGCCTCAGATATTTAATTTAAATCCTGAACGTAACCCCCAAGTACTGAACTAACACTGATCTGAATTTGGCGAACCCCTAATCCCAGGAAAAATCCTCTATATGTTGAACATGAATCCTAAAACTAACCTCTATATATTGAACCCCAAATCAAAAGACAGGTTTCCTTGGCATTTCAAACACTGAACCTATTGACCCCCCTCCAGTCCTAATACGGATGACTGGCTGGGTCTAAATCTCTGGATTCGGAGGACTGCTTGATTGCTGACCCTCTGAACCCCACAACTGACTCTGTCCAATAAACCCTGGCCTCTCATGGCCAGGGATTGTGGGACCAACACAGGCGCGGGCGCACCCACGGCCAGCCAGGACCTCGGAGCCCACCCTCTGTCTAGAGGCTGTCCCCCGCCCCTTACCCCTTCCGCCACCTCTCCACCAGCTCCCTTTACCACTAGCTCCCTTTACTCCAGCTCTGCCGCCCGCTACTGCAAGCTTCTTCCGCGCACGTGTCTTCTCGCAAGTCGCGAGAACTCATTCGCAGGTTCTGCCGGGAATTGTAGTCTGAACTTTTCACCGCTTTCAAACTTAATGGGAGAGGAGAGCGGTGCTGAAGTCCGGGGGCGTGGCCAAGGTATCGAGGGGCGGGGTTAAATGAGAAGAAGGGTGGGGCCTGAGAAGCACAGCCTGGAACTTAAAGACTGGGACCAGAGCTGTCGGGGAATGGGCACCGGGGCAGCAGCCGAAGTGAGAAACTGGGTCCCAGAGGAAAACGGGACTAAGGACAGCAGGGGGGTGTGGCCAGCCCTGGAAGGGGCGGGGCCGGGGGCAAACAGCCACGAGGGGCTGGGGCTGGAGGCGCACAAAAGAGAAGGCGAGGTCCCGGGCCCAGCCCCCGGTCCCGCTGGGAAGTGAGGGCGCCTTGGACGGTGAGGGCAACTGTATCAGGTTGACTGTCTGAAATGCAGCACGGCGCTGGGCGCTCTCCAGACTTTCCTGTGACTCCAGCAGGCTGTGACCTTGGCGTGGGGGTGTGGAATACGTGTGGGCGCGGGTGCAGGGGAGAGGGAATGGCGACGTGGAAGAGCAGAACAGACGCGGAGGGTCAGAGAGCCGCTTTATTAAGCAAGCTAGAGGAAGGCTGTGGGTCCCACCACCCCCAGGCTCGGCGCCAGGGCGGAAGGTCCGGGGGTGTCGTTCAGGCTACGTCCACGCGAGCGAAGCTCTGGTCCATGCCCAGGCTGTTCTCCACGTACACCTCGTACTTGCCGCTGTCCTGGGGTGTGGCCCGGCGAATGGTCAGCGTCGTGGTGGTGCTGCCGATCTCGAAGAACACCCTGCGGAGGGGTGGCGGGGAGGAGGGCGGAGCCGCGGTCAGTACAAGGGCGCACTAGGCCGGGCTCCTTAGCCAACTCTGTTCCTCGCCGCCCAGTCCCCGCCCCCATCACGCTCGTCAGATTTCTGGGCTCAGTCCCACCCAAGTTCCAGCCCCAGGCCCTGCCCATGCCGCAGGTCCCAGCCCTCGCCTGTCATCCTCCTCGATGTCCTCCCCGTCCTTGGTCCAGCCCACGTCGGGCGCAGGCTCTCCCAGGATCTCCGCAGTCAGCGTCACGGTGGCGCCTTTGCGCGCCTTAGTGTTATCGGGTCCCTTTTGAATCTTCGCCGGGACTAGCGGAAGGAAAGGGGAGCGAAACCCCGTGAAGGACCTGGAGATGAGGCAGGGCATCACTTCCCCAGCTAATACCCGGCACTAAATACAGATGCTTTTAAACTCACAGCGTGACGTTGAGCAAATCATTAGCCTCTCTGGTTTCATCTCCTTGGCTGTTAAAGGGACTTATCCCTACCTCTCCTACTTCTCGGGGTCGAATAGAGGATCAAGAGATAAGGCGGGCGAAAGCCCCTGAATGTTTTCACACATCTCGCGGTGCCTCAGAGACCGCTCCGGGTAGTGGAAATTGCCCAGAGTTGGGAGTCAGAAGACCCGTGTCCAACCCTGGCTCTGCCTCTGACTTGCTGTGTGACCTTGGGGACCTGGAGCCGCGTGATGGAAGCCCACAGAGGACTGCTTAGCCCGGGTGGGGCTGGATCCCGAGGTAGGGAAGGACGCACTTGGCTGGCGGCGGCGATGTGCCCAGGCCGTGCCCGGCGCTGGGCTGGCAGGGACCCTATAGCTAGGCCCAGAGGTAAACGCGCAGCTGGACCGGGCTGCGGGCTCTGGCTGGTCTGCGCCCTGGCGCTGCGCCCGGGGCGCGCGTACCTTCCACGAGGATGCGCGCCGAGTCGGAGCACTGGCCGAAGGGGTTGGTGACGTTGATGCTGTACTGGCCTAGGTCTGCCAGCTCGCCGTCGCGCACTACCAGTGCCACTACGTCAGGGTCCTCGAAGATGTAGCGGTACTTGGGCCCGTCACGTAGCTCCTTGCCGTCCTTACTCCAGCGGATGAATGGGTCCGGGAAAGCCGAAATGCGGCAAGTGAGCTTGGCCGCGCTGCCCTCAATCAGCACCACGTCCTTCAGCGCCTCCAGTACCCGCGGCGGCCCCTTCTCGCGCAGCTCCTTCCGGGACCTACCCCCGGGCCGAGTCAGGCTCCAGAGCTCCCAAGACAGGCCCGGCCGCAGCCCTTTCCGAGAGTGCACCATCTCCTGCCTGCCCCCTGGGCCCGCCAGACCCCTAAACGTGTGGCTTGGTAGGGAAAAGGACTGCTCCTGAACTGCTGCCCTGATAGGATGATGCATTCCTGCCGGCCACTCCTCCACATCTCAGTAAAGACCCTCCCCTAAAACCAGTCATTCTAGAGGCTGCTGAAGCCCCTCAGCCCTTCCCCAAAGCCCATTCAACAATGCGCTCTCTGCAGCTCCCTTCCTCCACAGAGCTCCGGGGTTCCCTCTTACCTGTGGCCTCGGTAAGAGGCCTGGATGCGAATGGCCGCACTCTGGACCTGTGGGTCATTGATGTCCAGGGTACATCCAGGAGGTGGGGCCGCAGCCACTGACTTTTTGGCAGGAGCTGCTTTAGACATCTGGAGAGTGGGTGACAAATACGGGGGTCCAGGTTGAGACAGAGGGTCCCACCTTCAGCCCTTTTCCTCCATGGTCAGAACATTCAAGGGGGTGGAAGAATGGGAGTGTCTGCGGCTTCTCTGAGGATAGGACTTACCGTGGAGGGATTGACCTAGGGACTTGAGTCGCCTGGCTGGATTGCAGGCAGCACAGAGCCCTTCTGGATGGCACAGTAGGGGTGCAGGCAGGTGCTCAGCCCTGGGCTCGGTTTTATACATCACTCCCCTCCTTGCCTTGTTTGGCGTGGTTGCCCCAAGCCCCCCGGGACCCCATCCCCCTCCCTCTGACCCAAGCAGGCTCTTTATTTAGCCTGCGGATGCCTGGGATGCTGGCTCAGCCGCTGGGCTAGGCCCGTGGGGGGAAACCCGAGCGGCTCTGGGGTGCACCTCGTGTCAGCACCTGGACAACTGGACAGCTGGATGCTGCCCTGTCCCCTCCCAGGGCAGGGGGTATCCATCCCACTCCCAGGAGGACCACATTCAGCCCCTAGCTGACAAGAGATCCAGCTTCCTACTGGGGCAGTTTTTCACTCAGGTTGGGCTCTGGATAGTCAGACAACACACCCTGTTGGTAAGGGGTTTGAGTGTTTCGGGGGTGTCCCTGAATAAAGCCAGAGTAGCAAAGGGCTTGGGCCTCAGGGCCCCTACAGCTAATGGCAACAGGGCCACGTGGCTGTCAAGACCAATCCAGAAGCTCCTTGCTCTTACCCTATCCCCAACCCCAGGAGTCCAGGGTTGTCACTTCCACACTGTGCCCCCTGGTGGTAAACTGAGATAAACCGGGAGGGGACGGGAAAGATTTTTTGAGAATAGCAGCCCCTCCATGCCATCCCTATCCCCACTCACTCCCCTCGATGTCACATGGTAGGGGCTGTTTAGACTGCACTGTCCTTGGAGATTAGCACCACTAGTGGCTCCAACCCTAGGTCTGCCCAAGTCCTTTTTGGGGGCATAAATTGGTGCATCGGGGCATCAGACCACCTGGGGTGAAGGGGTTCAGTTAACCCCTCTGGGGCTTGCCTGGAGGCCAATCTGCCCAGGCTGGGCACCTGGCAGAAGCATTGCTTCCATTCATTGGAACTACCCGCCCTAGTGTGGGGGCACTGTCACCTTTTGATCAGAGCAATTTTGACATAGCTCTGCTGACATAAATTACCTTTGCTCCTCTGGGTTTGGAACAAGCAGTTCACATGCCATTTCCAATGGAGATGGGAAGGGAGCTCAAGATCAGAGGGGGGACGGGAGAGAAATTTTACCATTTATCAAGATACGAGTTCAGGCACCTCATTTTTATACAAAACACTTGCAGTGTGTAGGGGATTGGAGATTCTCACAGGCAAACTGTATATCTTCATCGCTAAAATGACAGGTAGGCAAGGCGTTGTTCTGGTCCCTTCCAGCTGGCTTTAACATCCTGTTATTTTATGATGATGAGGATTGCCTCTTCCCTGGGGTCCTGAGAAGCTAGAGAGGCTGGGCTGGGCTGGGCAAAAGGGTTGTCTGAGCTGGAGTCAAGGGGCCCTCATCCTCCGTCAGCAACACAGTGGTGTCAACTCTCTCTACCCTGGTCAGAGGCTTTGTTCCTTTTACTTTGCCAAGAACAGAATTTTGAAGGTGGGGATGAGGGGAGCATTTCCTCTGGAGGCAAGGAGATCTGGGTCCCCGCCAACCCCCCAACCCCTCATCCCCAACCTCAGGGCAGGGCAGCTCAGTCCTAGGTCCCAGTGACCATTCTATGGCATTGCAAGGTTGTGGCTAGAATCAAGGTGCTTTAGCACCCAGCAGACCTCCTAACTTGCCATGCGGACAAGAAGGTCCAGGCTAGTGTGTCCCTTAGTCCTAGGAAAATGCTGGACACAGCAGACTAGAGCACTCCCATCTGGTGCTCTCCATGTGCTCTGATTTGTGCTGTGACATGGAGGGTGAGGGGCGTGGGCCTGTCCTAGTGTTTCTTTTTGAGATGGAGTCTTGCTCTATCACCCAGGCTGGAGTGCAGTCGTGTAGTCTTGGCTCATTGCAACCTCCACCTCCCAGGTTCAAGCAATTCTCCTGCCTCAGCCTCCTGAGTAGTTGGGACTACAGGCATGCGCCACCACAACTGACTAATTTTTGTATTTTTAGTAGAGATGGGATTTCACCATGTTGGCCAGGCTGGTCTTGAACTCCTGACCTCAGGTGATCCAGCCACCTTAACCTCCTTGTCCTGGTTTCTTCTGCAGCTCCTCACACTACCTACTCTTGCCAACCATCAGGATGCAACCCACTCTGCTCCAGGGGTCAGGACCAGAACTCCTGCCTGTCTTCTGGGCAGAGTGAATGAGGCTGAGCCAGGATTGGGGTGAGGGCTGGCCTATTTCAGAGCCCAGCATCCCCCACATTGTGATGAAGGAACATGTGACAAGAGGTGGCGGCTACCAGAGCCTGGTTGCAGGGGTTCAGTGGATCTGCCAGCATTCCAGAAACTGCAAGGGGAGAAGCAGACCACAGTCTCCCGTCCCTCCAGGAATAAGGAGAGGTGAGGGGCCAGGAGGGTCAGAGGAGGGGGTTGGAAGGACCCAAAGTGCTAGCTGGTATATCCTGGAATGTGTGTTGGGGAATGCCCAGAGAGGGCTAAATGCCCCTGTCCCGGACTCAACCCTTCCCAGCAATCTTCCCCTCCAGCCATCCCTCCCAACAGACACACAGGTTATGCTGCTTGCCATTTTTATTTCCTTGTGACAGACAGACAGACAGCTGGATGGCTGGGAGGGATGGTCAGGACAACATGGGCAGTAGGGATCGGATGGAAGGGGAAACTTCATAAAAGTCAATAAATAAATAAATATGAATGGGAAGAAGGCCAAAGGCCATGGAGGGGTGCTGGGGACATCCTTGGGCCAACAGAGAGCGCCCGGGGCTGTATCCACTGGACAGGAGGATACAGCGAGCTGAGTGACTGCTGGCCTCCGGCTCTCCATGTTTCTCCTCTAAGGGATGCTGACAGCTGGCCCACCCCACCTCCACCTGAGTCCTCTCTTCTCCCTCCACCGCCTCGCTGCCTTCTCTCACGTCCCAGCCCTGGGCCCTTGCCACTGTATCTGTGTCCTGCCCCTGCTTTGCCATACTGACTCCCAGCCTACTGCCCTGACACCCTGGGTTCCTTCCTCTTCCTCCTCTCCAGCCATGCCCATCTTCCTTGGTTCTCCCTGAGATGCACTGATCCCCAACCCAGAACCTTCCTAGAGCCTCCTCCTTCCTGTCCCTCGACTTCTTTTCCTCTCCACTTCCCCATTCCCCTCTTGTCCCTCTGCCTGTTCCCACCCTGCCCAGCCTGGCCAACGGGTCTCCCACTCTGGCTTTGGCCTGGGGTGGCATCAGGTCGAGGCCCTGGGGTCTCTGTCCTTGCAGGTCTATGAGGTAAGAGCCCGGCCAGATGCTGCTGCTGGTGGTAACCGAAGCCCCAGGCCCGCCTGGCTCAGCGTGGGCCCTGGAATGTCCCGTGGCATTGGTGGAAACCCCAGTTGAAGCCCGAGGCCTGGCTGTGGTCCGTGCCTCTAGGGGCCGCCAGGGTAGGAGCGCAGCAGCACCTTGTGGCGGGTGGCGGCCTCAGCCCGGCGCCGCCTCTGCTCACCCAGGAACTCCTTGAGCCGGTTGGTGGTGAAGGTGAGCGTCTGGCGGCGCAGTTTCATCAGGTAGGCGTCCTGCAACCATGGGTGGGCCAAGCAGTCCTGCAGGGAGGGCCGGCTCCTGCCAGGCAGAGCCAGGGATAATGAGCCTGGAAGGACGGCTCTGGGAGTTGCCAGGGCTCTGTCCTCCTGCAGACCCATGTCCCAATCCTGGATCCACCCCTACATGTGTGATCTTGGGCAGCTCAAGAGCTCAGTTCCCCAGTCTCTGGAATGGGGGCAGTGATTCTGCCTTGCATGGGGTTGTCTCAGGCTTTAAATGGTAGGTAGTATGACCACTTAGTAGAAGCAGCAGACTTCTTCCTAAGAGCAGGGGAGGAGCTGGGGAATCTCTGGCACAGGCCGGGCCGGGGGCAGGTGACACTGGGAGATGGCAGGTGTGGGGCTCACTCACCAGGGATGTACTGAGAGGACCTTTCGCAAGAAGAGGGTGGCGCTCTGGGATGTGTTGGGGTACAGCTGGAAGGCATCAAAGCGGCCCCCCACAATCCGAGCCTCCGTTTCCTGGGGGTCTGGCTCATAGAACGGGGAGCGTCCACTGAGCCTGTTGGGGAAGATAGCTTGACTGACATAGGCAGACTGGAGGCCAACACCCAGGCCCGGAAGGACATTAGTGTCGGGTGCACAGTGCTCAGGGCCATGCTGCTCTGTACCTGAGTGTGAGTGTGCGGTGTGATGTGTGTACAGAGGAGGTGGGGCATGGGGGAGAGGGTGTTGGCAGAAGGTGAGTCCGGGAGCTCACTGTGTGGGCAGAGAGGGCTGTGGCGGGTAGGGGACACTCACATAATGTAAGTGAGCACACCCGCTCCCCAGATGTCCGTGGCAGAGCCGATGGGTTCTCCCTTCACCATCTCCGGAGCTGACAGGAGACAGAGGCCAAGCTGACCCAGCTTCCTGGTGGCAGGGAAGTGGGGGCGGGGGAGGTCCCTGGGTGCTTGAGCAGCAGGACAATGCCCAGGTCACCAGACCATAGGAATGACCAAAGTGGCAGGCCCTGAAGCCCAGTAGGCAGGACAGAGGTGGTGGCATACCCCAAGAGACATATGGGACACCTGAGGAATTAGCCTGGGCACAAAATGGAGGGGGTCCCCAGAACTCCAGAGGGGCTGAGAAGCAGGGTGACAAGCTCCCTTGGATTAGCTCCAAGGTATGGCTCCCATTCACAGAGAGTGTGGCTGACACCAAGATTAAAAGCCTTCAAAATCAGCCTGGCTGGTTCTAATCCTAGACCTGCCACTTCTAGCTATGGAACCCTGGGCAATTTACTAAACCTGCCTGGCTCTCCATAGCCTCGTCTGTAAAGTGTGGCCTGTAGAACCACACTAAGGAAGAGCGATCATGAACGTCAAGCACTTAGCAGGTTACTCAATGTAGCTGGTTCTCCTTATTTAAATAAAATAATAATTGATTCTCCTGTCTTTTTGGCTTTAGCGAATCCCGTCTCTAGCATTTATAATTGTCTGATTGCACAAATCCTTAACATCAGATGTACACCTCAGTTTCCTCATCTGTAAAAGGGGGCTAATATTGTGCCACACTCCAGGGTTATTGTAAAGATCAATTGGAAGAAAAATCCACATACTTCATTCATTGCTTGCATACAGTAATCACTCAATAAGTGGCACATATGTAAGTGAAGTGGGGTGAGCCCTGGCTGCTGCCTCTCCGGCAGTGCCCTGTCCCCACCCTGGCTGGCAGCTGGTCCCCTCACCCATGAACTCCAGCGTGCCCGTGCGGTGGCCAAGGGGCCGAAGGGCCTGGGGGTTGTAGGGCTGGGCACTGCCGAAGTCCACGATCTTGAGGGCGTTGTCAGGGGCCAACAGCAGGTTGTCTGGCTTGATGTCTAGGTGGAGCACATGGCGGCCGTGGAGGTAGTCCAGGCCTTGTAGCAGCTGCGCCACGTAAGTGGCCACGTCATCCTCAGAATACCGGAACCTGGGAGAGCAGGGGTGGAGCAGATGACACCCGGCCCAGCCTCCCCTACCTCTTCCTCCCTACTCCCCCAGAATGCCCAGCTACCTGTCACTGAGCCCACAGAGGAGCTCCCGGTTGCCGCAGCTCTCAGCAATGAGCACGAGGTACCGAGGGGTGATGTAGGCCTCGTGCAGGGACATGATCCGCTCGTGGTGCAGGGTCCGCAGCACCTCGTACTCCTGCAGGACCCGCCGCTTGCCCTCGGCAGCATAGGGCACGATCTTGGCCACGAACGTTCGCCCCGTGGCGTTCTCCCGGCACGCTCGCACAACACCAAAGCGGCCCCTGTGTGTCGGGGGGAGGGTCACCACAGGCTCAGAGGAGGGAAGGGGAACACTTCACAGTGAAGGCTAACGGAGGAGAGCAGGGACCCCTAGGGGCAAGAATGCAGCAGTTCCGGTGTGGGCTCCAGAGTTCAATCCTAGAAACCAGGCTTCGAGTCCCAGCTTTGCCACTCACTGGCTCTGTACCTTAGGTAAATCCCAGAACTTCTCTAACCTCAGTTTTGCCACCTGTGAAATGGGTGATGCTAACAGCGCAGTGTCTCTCAGAGTTGCGAAGATTCGATGAGATCACATGGCTAAAGCCCGCAGTGTAGTCTGGCACATTTAAACTCAATGATGCTAATAACCCAGGTCTCAGCACCTCCCCTCACCCCAGCCAGTACAGTCTGGTCTTCTCTCCGAAGCCATGCGCTCCAGACATTTGACCCACTCCCCTATGTCCTCTTCCCTTCCCCAGCCCTGCTTGCCTGGCTTTCTCCTCCAGGAAAGTGTAGGGTTTCTGAGGGGGGCCCTGTCGAAGAGTGGTACCCTCAGGCCTGGGAGAGCTTCGGGGACTGCTCCCAGGGGAGCTGACCACCTCCTTGGCCGGGCTGAGACTCCGCACAGTCACCTTGGTAGGCTCAGGAGGGGGCTCAGGGGCTGGGGGCTCAGGGGCTGGTGGTGCAGACACGAAGGAAGTCACCACATACACAGGAGTAGAGGAAGACGCTGGTTTAACCCCTTGAGGAGTGGAGGCTGGGGTCGGGGTCCCAGTGTCAAGGACGAAAGACTTGGGCTCACTTGGGGTGACCTGGGTACTGGGTGGGGTGGGCTCTGCTTGCCGGGCAGCCTGCAGGCCCCTGTGTCTTCGTGGAGGGGTCTGGGGTGGCGGACCCACAGCCTTGAGCGAGGACAAGGCCTGGCTGGGGGCTGTAGGGGGAGATGAGGGGCTGACAGTGACTGACGGGGGGGTGGGGGCAGCAGGAGCTGGGGGTGGGGCCAGTGAGGTAGGAGAGTCAGGAGGCGGGGCCCTGGCTGGCCCTGAGGTGACAGGGGCCTCTTGGTGGGCAGCAGATGGCACAGCTGAAGAATCTAAGAGACAAAGAAAATCACCACCACGGTGCCTCGGGGCAAGGCCATGGTGCTCCCCAAGAACCCTATGCTCAGGGCCCCCTTCCTCCCCCACCCCACACCATTGCACTGACCTTGAGTGCCCCTGACAAAGACCTTCTCAGAAGGGTTGCTGAAGGGCCCCTGCCCAGCACGGTTGGCACAGGCCACACGGAACCTCACAGTCATGCCAACTGGCAGGTGGCTCACATTGTAGTAACAGTCGGGGATGCCTGAGCTCACAGGGTGCCACACAGACTCCCCTGTAGGCAGTATGGGGGAGGGGCTGAGGTCACAGAAGGGGTGACGCCAGCTCCCACAGTGCTATCTGTGGAGCCCGGGAGGGCACTGGCCTTCCCAGACTCCCCCTGCCGCTCCCCCCACCCTCCGGCTGCCCCATCCTCACCATCCACTCGCCGCTCCAGGGTATACGTGCAAGGTGCCCGGCTGTCTCCCGGCTTCCACAGCACCAGCGCTGTGTCCTGGTAGGTCTGGGGCACCTCTGGAGGAGCTAGCTTTCCTGGGACTCCTGGCAAGAGAAAGAAGAGTCCCAGTGAGCCCCTACACCCTAGCTAAGAGCCCCTCAAGCGCTGCCCCGCCATCCCCCTCACTACCCCCCTGGGGCCCTGCCCCAGGCTCACGGGCCACAGCCACGGTACAGGAGCTGGTGATGCTGCCCAGGACGTTGGTGGCGGAGCACTCATAGAGCCCGGCGTGCCGCTTGCCCACCCGAGGGATGCTGAGCAGCTGCCGCCCATCTTTGCAGGACACGATGATCACTGAGGGCTCTGACCTCAATGACTTCTTGTCTGGGGACAGGGAGAAGCAGGAGGAGCTGCTGAGTGAGCTAGCACATGTCCAGGCCCCCTCACTCACTCCCTACTCCAACATCCCCACAACCATGCTCAGCCCCCACCCTGGCCTAGCCCCTCCCATCCCCTGGGCTCAGGGCCACTTGCTGGCCTCCCTCTCTGTGGGAGGCAGTTTCCTTACCTTTCATCCAGGAGATGTGCGGTGCAGGGCAGGCTGCTGGCAGGCAGAGCAGGGTGGCTGCCTCCCCCTCCAGCAGCACCTGGTCCTTGAGTTTGATGTGGAAGACTGGGGGGAAGTCTGGAGGAAAAGCAGAGACAGCCATCTGTCTGTGGGGGCCCTGACCCACTTACCGCTGAGGGAGGGGTGGAGAAGGCCTGCAAACAGCCATCAGGAAGCAGCGTGAAACCTTGTCTCTTCCCAGGCAGATGTGGAAAGTGGAACCCCAGGCCATGCCTTCAAGAATTTTCTTTGGGGCAAGCATCACTTTCCCCAGACCCTCACTGTGCTGGACTGCCTTTTCCTTGCACTGACTATTGACGATGCTACTTATGTCATGGGTTTGTAAATCACTGACAGCAGGGCCTGGCACTAATTAAGCGGTCTATAAGCATTTGTTAAATAAAATAAAAGCAAACAAATGTTGAAAAATTATAATGGTTAAGATCCTGCAAGACCCACCCTCTCTGGGGCACAACAGGGCAAGTGAGAAAAGAATTGAGGTGAGTTAGTGACCTGAGCTGCGATGGGACCGAATGAGGAATGTTCTTTCAGAACATGCAGTCTCAAAAGAGTTGCAGTCTAGGAAAATGTGGGCAGATCCTGGAAGTGTGTCGGCCTCCAGGCCCCTCTTCCCACCTGCCATCCGGGGACAGGGTCGTAGGTCTCCTATATACTCCTTCAAGTCAATTAAGTGGTGAGAGCTTTTGAAGGGGCAAGAGACAGTATCTGCCTGACCTTGGGCAAGTCATTTACTCTCTCAGAAGCTCCATTTCTAATCTGTAAATCAAGGAAAATAATACCGCGCCCACAGGATTCTTGCTGTGACAATTATAAGGCATGTCAAGTGTCTGCCATACAGTAACTGATTATAAATACTAACTTTTCTTGTTGCTAGCATTATCTCAATAATATGGCCAGCAGAGAAGCCTGGAGCAGACGCCCAGGGAAAGGCTGTTTCAGCAAAGCAGAGAAATTGCCTTCACAGCCAGCTGGTGGCTGTGCACATGGTAGGGCTAGGGATGAGACCAGTTTTCCTTCCTCCAATGTAGCCAGCCTGTGACTCCTTAGTGCCCTGAGGATTTGAGTGCATGATCCCTGGGAATATCCCTTTAGAAGAATCCCAGTTCGGCCATGGGGGTGGTGGGTGAAGGGTGGGGATAGGGGAGGACTTGGGGGTGGATTTTATTCACCTGGGCAGAGAAAGCTGAGGAGCCTTGGGAGCCCCAGCTGCTGCCTGTCTGAAGAATTGTGGGGGACTGGGAGTGGGGATGAGCCAGGCAGGAGAGGAGTACTCAGCAGGAGTGGTGATCAGGATGGCAGTGTGCCCCCTTCCCGCTGTACCCCACTGCTCCCCAAGGAGGGGTCCCACACTGAGGCTCCAACAAGGCAATGTGAACACAGTTTCTCAATGGCTGCCTCCAGGCCAAGTGAGGGTACTGGGTAGCAGGGAGAGAGAGAGAGAGGCCACCTCTCTCAGAGGTGAAAGTGACCCAGGCCCAGCCCTGCCAGCCCCGCCAGCCCCACCCCCATTCCCAGGGGCCAGCCCTGGTTGTTAAAGTGGACTGGGACAGCCTTGTTTCTGCAGAGAACAGGGAGGCGATAAGGTAAGGGGACACTGCCTAGGCAGGAAATCAGCTGCATAAGCAAAACTGGGCCGGGAGGAGGCCCCAGGTGGGAAGGGATCAGCTGTCCCCAGGCCTCTCTGCTGGCTGATCGCTTTCTTTCCCCCTCATTTTCCACCCTCCCTTCCCCACCAGCGGCCCTTCCCTCCCTCTTTTTCTCTCACTGCAGCCCCCTTTGCCCTGGCCAAGGCTGGACACAATCCCTACAAGCCCAGCTGAGGCAAGACTCGACAGCAACTCCATTCTGAGTTTTACCAGGAAATGGGGGAAGAACAGGACTGGTGGCTTGTCAAGATCCTGCACATAGCCTGGCTTCACGGACTCTCTCCTTTCCTGCATGCTGCTCTGGAAAACCCAACCTCCCGAAGCCTTTGCTGGTCATCCTTGAGTAATGCGCCTTTTTCAGGCGGGATGGGGTGACCCCACGTGGGGAATGCCTCCCTATCTGGAGCTCCAGGACACTCAGGCAGAGAAACAGAAGAGGGCAAAGAGCTGGCAAAGAGCTCCGAAGGCTGCTTTTCTGTACAGAAGGGTCAGGGAGGGCCAGTCAGGTGTTCGGAGCTGCAGGGCAATGGAGACTTAGGGGGCACAATACAGGTCGTGGTCCTCTAGGCTGGAGAGAAAGTGAGTGTCTTTGGGTACACACCCAAGCACACACACATCTAAAGGGGAACTGTGGGGGCAGGAGGGCCCTATATCTTGAGCTCCTTGAAAAGTGCAGCCAGTTACAGAAACCTTCTAGGGTCTCCCAGGAGAGAGGAGGCCAGCCCCTGACAGACATAAGTATGGTGTCCTGAAGCCCCTTCCCAGACCTGGCTGCAGAAGGTCACACAGTTCAACTTCAGCTGCTCCACTTACTAGCCCTGCGACTTGGACAGATCCTTAGCATCACTAAGCCGGTTTCCTCACCTGTACAATAGAGACAATGATACTAATATTTCCCAAGCAATGCTGCAGGATTGAATAAGGCAGCGCTTGTAAAGTGTTGAATAGAACACTTAGCTTCTCTAATGAATGACAGCTACTGCTATTGTTATAGTTGTCTGAGCAGACCCCTTCCACTAGGCTCATCAAGGTGGCCCACCCCTCACCAGCCATGACAGCTCCCTGATATGGGTAGGGGATAGCAGGAGGGGAGGAGGGTCCTCACCCAGCAGGCCTCTATTACCTGACTCACTGCGCACGTACTGGTGACCCAACTCCTCTTGGATGCTGGCAGAGAGGTTTGGTTGCGATAACCCCTTGTCCTTCCGCTGCCGAGAGAAGCCCCAGCGGAGCCGGCTTCGGCTTTCCCCTGGGGCTGTGAAGACCCAGGCCCGTTAGCATTTGCTCAGTCGGTACCAGCAAGTTCACACCTCTCTGCAGCCCTCAGCCCAGAGAACCAGAAGGAACACCTAGCCCCACCCTGCCCTGCTGCCACTCCTGCTTTCCTCCCCTCCAGCCCTGCCGATTCCACCCTCGGGGCCTCAGCCTGCCCCTCGTGGGTGTCCCCAGCCCCTCTGCTCCTCCCACGGCCTCTCTCCAGCGCACCCCAGCCTCCTCTGCACCTGCTGCCCTACCCCTGCCCCTCCTCACCTGAGGAGCCCGACGTGGCGCTGGCCTCGGAGCCCAGGGACTCGGCGGAAGGCGTGGTGGCGCCGGCCTGGGCGGCCAACTGATTGTGCGGAAGGCCGAGGCGCCGCAGACTCTCGCCCTCGGACGTGGCCCTGCGAAGCCGTCCGAATAGCGGTGTGCTGCGGCCCGACGCGCCCCCCGAGTCCTCGCTGCTGCCGCTGCGCTGCAACCGGCTCGACAGCCGCTCCAGGGTGGAGCTCAGCCGCCTGCGCATCGCCAGCACGGGGGAGCCCCGCGCCGAGCTCCCGCCCTCCGAGCTCTCTCCGTCCCCGCCGCGGGCCTCCCAGGCCGGGTGGCGCTGCGCGGGAGGGGTCCGCCGCAGCCGCTGGGACAGTGAGAGCGAGAGGCGGCGGACAAGGCCCGGCTCCCCGACTGCCCTGAGGTCCTGCACCGAGCGCGAGCGCTCAGGCCGTCGCACCAACTCCAGCGGGGTCCCCGCCGGGCTGGGACGGTATATGCCATCCTCCTCCTCGGCCCCGCGGAAGGGGCCGCGCTCCTCGGAGCGGGAGCGGCTCAGCAGCCGCAACCCCCGCGACAGGGGCGATTCGCGGCTGCGCTTGAACTTAGCCTCGAACACGGCCTCCGACTCCAGGTTTTCGATGCTGCTGCTGAGACTGCTGCCTGGCCTGGGGGGCACCGTGGGAACTCGGGCTTTCTCGGCTAGCACCGGGGGAGCCCCGGCTGAGGGCACACGCTTCTCGGGGGCTCCCGGAGGTGGGGAGGCCACCCTGGCAAAGACAGCTGCGTGGGGCTTGAGCTCTGAAGGCGACGCGGCAGGGCCCTGCGGGGGTCCCTGGGCGTGACCTGACAGCTGGAGGGACTGAATGATCTGGGCATAGGGCGTGAGGGGCAGCGCTAGGGTTTGCAGGGCCTCAGGGCGTGGTGCAGGCTTGGAGGCTCGGACTGGTTCTGGCCTGGGCTCTGGGGCCTTGTCTTGGGCAGGCTGGGGTGCAGGGGGCTGCGGGGCATCACTAGGTGTGGTGGCAGAAGGTTCTGCAGACTTAAGGGCACTGGGCTTGGGGACGCTGGGCCGTGCAGGGCTGGATGGCTGGGCCTCACTGAGGGCAGACAGGGAAGGAGACTCCTGTAGCCTACGGGCTCCAAGCCTGGCCACGGGGATCTCGAGGGGCGCCCCCGCTCGGCGGTGCCGACCCCGGGGCTCTGCCTCACCCTGGGAGAAGCTGCTGCTCTTTTGCAGGCCCCTGTTCTCGAGTGGGGGCTGGTGGTGGGGCGCTGCCTCGCTGGAGGCAGCTCGTGCCATCCGGGGATCCCGGGCACGGCCCCCCAGGCTCTCCAGCAGGGGACCCCTGAGGCCGCTGACCTTGCCATCCTCGGGGCCTCCCCGCAGCAGCCGCTGGCGCAGGGCCTGCAGCCTCTGGGCATACTCGCCCTCACCCAGGCCTCCCCGGGCCAGGCGGGTGGCTCCCGGGCTGGGGCTCCGGCGCTGCGGCAGTTCCACAGACGCCGCCTTCTGCAGGCCCCGGCCCGGCTCCCGCGGCCCGGCCCGGGGCAGGGCGCTCTCAGCCGAGCTGCCCCTACGGAGTTCTCCCCGCTTGGGGCTAGCCCCAGCTGCGGGCTCCTGGCCTAGGGAGGGGAGGGCCTCCGGGCTGGGAGCCTCCTGGTCCTGAGAGGGAGCCCTTCCCTGCTCCTGCCAGTCCATGGGGGTGGCAGCCCCAGTCTCTGGGGTCCCCAGAGCCTCATCCTCAGTGGGAATATCGGTGAGGGACACCCGGGAGCCTGAGAACTCGGGCTGCAGTGGGCGGGGCACTGAGGGCAGCTCTTCCAGCTCTTCCTCTTCAGAATCCGAGGAGGATGAGAGCCCCCCACTGGGGGGTGGCCTTCTGGGCATGGTCACCCACACCCGCTCTGGGGGAGCCCGCAGCAGCTCCGGGATGGGGCGCAACACCAGGTGGCATTTGTAGCTGATCTGGGAGCGCTGGAGACAGGTTACTGGAGTCAGACCTGAGGGACCCCTGGGGCAGGATTGTCCCCCCCAGGCCCACCTCAGCCCTGGGGAAGAGGCCTGAGCATGCAGAGGGTCAGGGAACAGGCAGGAAACTGGGTATGGAGCCAGTGAAAGCGAGAAGACAGGAGCAGGAGATGAAGACCCATGGGAGGGGGGAAGGCGGTGTTAAAGAGAAGGAGAAGGTGGAAAGCATAGAGGCTGGCCTGCCACACTCACCTGCCACCTCCTCCGGGAGAGGAATAGCTTCAGGTGATCTGTGCTCATCTCTGCGCCCTTTGCCTGAGTCTGCAAACCCAGGAAAGAGGGCTTGAGGGAAAGCTGTCAACCTAGACCCTCCAGGTTTGGCAACAGAGAGGCAAACTCCATGGGGCGGGGTGGCAGGAGAGAGTGGATTGAGCAGCACTGAGTCTGGGCTCCTGGGATCCCCTTTCCCTTGGGTCTGTCAGGACAATGCCTACAGCCAGGGTGTCCTTAGGGACAAATCCCCTAAAGCCCCCAAGGGGGAGGCAGGAAAGTGGTAGCTCCCAGAGGTAGGCTTCTGAGCTTCCACCAGGGCTCATGGCCCTGTCCTGGTAAACCAGCTGCCCTGGGAGGCCTGTGCTCTTAGGCCCCTTACCTAGGCCCTGGCTCCTCAGCTCCTCTCTGTCTCCATGTAGGGCCAACACCCCAGACATCTGGAGCCTTGGTGGTCCAGACCAAGATGGATGCTTCCCTCGGCTACCCACCCAGGCTCTCTCTTCCGGAGCTCATTTCAGGTCCGAGAAAGGAGGCTCTTAATTCAACTCCTGACACCAGAATGACCTCAGCCTTCAAATCCGCTCCCAAATCCCCAAGACTCCATCAATGCCTGGCACTGTGCCCTGAGGCACTGGGGTTTGAAGATGAATGAGTGAGAACCGAGAACCTGCCCACATGAAGCTCATAACCGAGGGGCTGAGCCTGCCTGGTCACCCCCAACGCTAGTGTGTGGGACCAGTGCAGGACAGAGATGGAAAGGCAGAAGTCAGGAAGACCAGGGTCTGGTCTCAAGCATGGGGGAGAACTCCACTGAGGATGCCCAGGATGGAAAGGTCCAGACGTATGCCCTGGAGTCCAGGATACCCCAACTCCATCCCTGATTTGAGCCTGTTTCCTTGTCAACAAAATGGGACTAATAATGTCTTCCTTTGCAAAGCTATTGTGAGGTTAATAGGTCATATGCATATTCAATGCCTAACGTGGTTACTGCACATAGTAGGTACTCAATAAATAGAACTGTTAGTAACATTCTCCCTCCCTCCACCTTTTGTGCCACCACTTTGCAGACCAGACTCACTTTGAACCAAGGATGTTCTAGGGTCTCCTCTGCGGTAGGTCTCCTGTGAATGAATGAGGATTAAGAAGGGATTTATCATTCAGTCATCCAGTCAGTCAATAACTGTTTGAGCAAACAGGGCTCCTAAGGACGTGGGGGCTTGCATGTCGAGCGGCAGGAGTCTGGGAGGAGCAGGCAGGTGGTATGAGGGTGACCCTGCAGGTGGGGGCTCCCAGGGCCTTGTACTTACAGGCGGTCCTGCACCAGCACTTTGATGAGGAAGCCCCGGGCCTCCCTGCTCAGGCTCAGGAATGTGGTCTCCTCGAAGGCCACGTTGTAGTTTCGGATGTTCATCAATGTTGTCCGGTCATTTTCCCCAACAAACGGGGAGATTCCTGTCAGACTGCAGAGGTGAAGAGGGGTGTCGTGCGGGGCAGGTGGGGACAAAGGGGGATGCCAGTGGGGGCACAGAGCTGGGGACAGGTGGAGGCTCTGGGGTTGTTAGGATGACAGAGGCTGGGCAAATCTGGGTAAGAGGCGAGGCTGCAGACTCTCTTCTCCCCTGTCCCCTCCCCAGCCCCCTGATGGGCAGAAAGGTGGTGCTGCCTTGGGGCCTAGTGGCCTGTGCTTTAGAGGACCTGTTCCATCCATCCTCCAGTGTGGCCTCCCCATGAGTGAAGAGTCTGTGCCAAGGGGATGTGCCCATCCTGAGCTCCACTCCCTTCGAGTCCAAGTTTTAGACACTCAGAGCCAAAGAGTTCCCTGCCTCCATGGCCCTGAGCCTGCGCTGGGCTCTCTCCATCCAGGGTGCCCACCTCTTACGGAGGGGTGTGGGGACAGGCAGAGTGTGGGCATGCAGACCAGGGCGTCCAACTTCATGCACATGAGGCTTCTTGCAGTACAAGAAGGAGTGGGGGGTGTGGAAGAGAAGGGGGTGGGCTGTAGCCCTGCAAAGGTCAGGGGTGGACCTGCCAGGAGACTGCTGGGACACTGCAGAGGGGTCCTTACCAGAGGAAGGCAACAACGCCCACAGGCCTGTGAGGAAAGGAGAGTGATGGGTAAGAGGACTGCACCCCTCTGACTGGAAGGGAGCAGTTCTTCGCTACTGCTGACCTGAGTGAGCGGTTACCTCCCTGGGAACACTGCCATGGACAATGGGCACAGGAGTGGCTTCTTCAGGGAGGACCCTGAACCCACAGGTCCAGATATGCCTGGAGAAATCCAGGGTCATGGCAGGGCTGGTCCAGGAAGCCCAGGGAAGTCTGGGGACCAATGGGACCTTGCCTGCCTCACTGGAAGAGGCATGCTGGCTGCTGAGGGCAAGGCGCAGCTTCCAGGGGAGACGAGGAATCAAGGACTAACAGGGCTAAGGCCTTGAGAGAATGGGGCAGCCCTGACTCATGACGGGCAAGGAGTAACATGGGCAGGAAACCCTGCAAGCAACGCCTCCAGCCCACTGTCAGAAGGAATCCAGGCTCGGTAAATCTCCCTGTCAGTCAGCGCATCCCCGGCACAGCCCCAAGGGCAGCTGCCCTGGCCCACCCAGCCCAGCATGCCAGCCTTACCAGATGTCAGTGACTCCAGACACGGGGCTCTGATTGACAATCTCGGGTGCTACAAACTCAGGTGTGCCATACTGGCAGTACTGGGGCTCTCCTGGAGTCAGCTCCTGGGCATTCCCAAAGTCACAGATCCGCACCTGCTCTTCACCCTCGGCACCATCCCACACCAGCAGGTTCTCAGGCTGGAAGACACAAGGCGAGGTGTGGGGGCCGAATGAACAAGGAAGGACAGTCCACTCCTGGCTCCCACAGGGCCTGTCTGCTCTCCAGTCCCCACCTCACCTTGACATCGAGGTGCAGCACGTGGCTCTGGTGCAGGTAGTGTATTCCCTCTAGAACCTGCCGCATATAGGCCCGGATCTGTGGAAACAGGGGGCCCAGAGTCTGTGGGGGCAGGGTGGTATGTGTCTGATTACCTCCAGGGCGGCAAGCGGTCAGGCTGTGCCTGTGGAGTAGCCTTCAGATGGCTCATGGAAGGGGCTGAAACACAGGTTTGGGGTTGCAAAGATCCAAGGCTACCATGTGCACCGGAGGGTACAACACAATTATAGGGAGGAGCCATCGCATGGTAATAAGTAGAATTGTGCAGTGCACAATATGTACAGCCTGACATGGCAGGACTGCAGCGAGATCAGTAAAATCTAGGTGGGGCTCCTTCCAGGAGAAATGTTTGGGGGATGCTTAGGTGATGGAGTGGGAAACAACAGTTAGGAACTGGGCTGGGTTTGCTGAGATTTAGAGAGAATAGCGCAAGTCCCAAATAGACAGGGGTCTGGTATCATTGGATGGGGACTCTGCTGCCTGCCTAACAGTGCTCTCTGCCTCCACCCCTGGCTTCCTGTGGACACAGATGGCATGCTCAGGACCCATTTGTTGATTCTCAAAGCTCAGGTGGGTGAAGGCCGGTGCCCAACCTGGCCCCTGCCACCCACTGCCCTCACCTCAGACTCACACACGGTCGGTTTCCTGGCCATTCGCTCCAGCAGCTCCTCTGTGCAGCTACATCTCAGATCAAGGAGAACAGTGCCCAGCGCCAACTTCCCAGCCCACCCCAGAGCTCAGGGCGGGTCCCAGCTCAGCATGAGGTTCTCCATTCCCTTACAGAAGACCTGATACTAGTCAGAGACTATCTCTCCCCTCCTCCACATGTACCCCCTCCCCACCTCCTGTCTTCTGAGGGCACAGGTGGGACATCCCTGCTTGAACTCCCACTTTCTATGGGATCTCAGACAAGTCACTTCACCTCTCTGAGCCTAGGTTCTCCCAGGAGTAAGACGAGAATGAAATTTCCTCTCCTGCCCACCCTGTGAAGCATTTATAGGGATCAAATTACAGCAGAATTCTGTTGACTGTGGATGGGACTTCTTGACTCTATTTGAGAATGACCTAGAAGGTCCATGACATGGAATAATTTGTCATTTTGCTGAGGTTTGAATTCAAACAGTGCAGGCAGGAGGCTCATGAGCAGGTTACGGTCACCCTGCTACTGGGGTGATGAGCTGATCACCCAGCATCCTTACCTCAATGTGCCTTTGCTTAACCACAGCCTTCAGGAAAGGGTAAAATCTGTTCCTTATGAAAACAGCCTCCAAATAAAGCCAAGTATTGATCTGAAATGGGGTCACTTCAAATATGCAGATGCATTGTACTGCATTTCATGATGAAAAGCATAGGCCACGTGCTAGCTGTGTGACCTTGGGCAAGTTATTTAACCTCTCCATGCCTGTCTCTTCATCTGTAAAATGGGGATAATACAAGTTAACGATAAAATTCCAGGAGACAGGAATATATGAGGATTAAATAGGTTAATATTTGTAAGACTCTTAGAACACTGCCAGGCATACATGAAATGCTATGTAAATTGAAGCTAACAATGGGCTTAAAACTGTTGGTTTTCATAGCAGTCTCCAGATGTATCCCTCCCAATTGTCAATGGGACTACTTTGTAAACTGTAAAACATGTTGCCTATTGGATGTTATAAGGACCAGTCATTTAGGCATGGATCCCCCCAGCCACCAGCCTGTCCCAGGATACAGCTCAGTGACAATGACCAGTCCTCGGCGCCTCTCGAAGGCCTCATGGAAGTAGAGGACACAGTCGTGCTGGAGCCTGGCGAGCAGCCGGGCCTCCCGACGCGCTGATGCCTTTGGCTTGGCCTGGCTGGGGATGAACTTGGCCGCAAACTCCAGGCCGGAGCTACGCTCCACCACACGCCGCAGGTAGGAGAAGGCACCCCTGGTTGACACCGGGAGGGGGTCAGGGATCAGCCATCACTGTGGCCCTCTCCACATCTCCCAGCCCTCAGACCCAGCAGCCTCCACTGGCTTCCCTCCTAGCCCCACACCTGCCGATCTCCTGGTGGATGTCATAAAAGTCGCTGAGTCTCCTTCCTCGATGGTCCTCATCCTCCCCGACCCCTTCGACCTCCATAGCTGTCTGAGCTGGGGCAGAGATGTCATGGTGTTAGATGGGAGGGGAAGAAAGCAAGCAGGCCAGAGACTGGGACAGGTGGACAGAGGAAGGAGACAGAAGAGGTGCAAGAATGTTGGGGGCTCAAGGTGGAGGGCTGGGCTGGGGGTGTGGTGGCTGGGAGTCCAGGGCTGGCTGCTTCCTGGGCAGAGCATGGCGGGGGTGTCACATCAGATTCCAGGAGGTGGGCGCTTTACCTTTCTCCGGAACACCTGCCCACCTGAATGCACAGCCAACTCTGCTTTGCAGGAGACCTCGCCCGCCAGGTTCCGGGCCGTGCAGGTGTAGACGCCTCCATCCTGGGCCCCCGTGCTGAGCACCACCAGGGAGCACTCATTCTCCTCGTACACGAAGCTCACATGGCTGCTCTCGGTCAGCAGCACTTCGTCCTGCAGAGTTGGGTCTCACCTTCAGCCTGGGCCTGGTCTCACCTCTGCCTTGGGGCCAAGAGCCGCTGTTCCAGACCCCGTCCTCATCTACTCTGGGCAGTGCATCTCTTCCCAGGACCCAGAATCAGCTCCTCCCTTATCTTTCACAGAAAGCCCTGCGCCCCTCAGCTAGTCAGTCCTCTGCATCCCCTTTCCTCCTCCTAACCACGCCTCCGCCCGGGCTCCGCCCTCCTAAGCCTCCCAGGACCCTACCACGCCCCCAGGGAGCCCCTCCTCTCCCTCCCAGGATCAGCCAGCAGCACACTCTGACCTTGTACCACATGATGTCCGGCAGTGGTTTTCCCTCAACCACCACGGCAAAGCGAGCAGTTTCCCCAGCCCCCACCTCCACGTCCTCCATGATGGACTCAAACCGAGGGGCCTCTGAAACACATGGGGATAGGAGTGGGAAGAGAGGGGGCAGAGGATCGGCTTTACCCTGCCTCCTCAGCCCCTCCCTAGAGCCCCCATCAGCGACTGGCTCAGGCAGAACGCTAGACCCCCGCCTCCCAGCAAGCCACCGTCCCCCACCCCCCACCAACTGGGACAACAGAGTTCCCCGCCTGGACCAAGCGCCCCCGCCCCCGTAAATCCAAACATGATGTTCTCCAAATCTCAGGAAACCTGGCACAAGGTGCAGGCTTGCTTTGTTCGACCTTCAGTATTAATTTAGCAGCTTTGAAATTAGGAGATTTTCACACACAAAAGAAATCTGGATTTCCTGCCTTTCTTGAAAAATCAGGACTGGCCATCCTGTGTCGCTCCCGTCACTGCATGAATCCGCGGGCGAGGAGCGGCTCAATGCTGCCCCCTGTGGGTGGCCGCCCTTCTTCACAGGGCCACCCGCTGGCTTCTGACTACCTGAACTTGGCCCCCTGCAGGTGGCTCAGCCTGTGACCCTGAATTAAGCTCATGGATGGCATTGCCTCTATCTTGGAGTTTTTTTCTCTGAATCTTTGAAAAATGTTTAGAGGGGCTTCTGTTAATAGCACCTGGGAGATGGCAAGATGAACAAGTAACCCCTAAATACCAAACCGTCTAGAAATGGACTCTATCTTCCACATATGATTGTGATTTCATTCTCCATACATATCATGTGGTCATATGATTTCCTGGTAAAGCAGCTTCTAATTCTCATGATGAAATTAAATACATATTGCAATGTGCTTTGCAAAGGAGGCTGTGACTTCCAGGTGTCCTCCGCCAGCCCCTACCCCCAACCCCAGCATGTTTGAGCATCTCAGCTTGAGGAGAAGCAGGATGAGTCAGGTACTTGGGAGGGCAGGGTGGCCAGGTGTGGACCCCCACCCTTCACAGGCACACAGACAACAGGGGAGGCCATCCTGGGGATGGGGAAGACACTGCAGTGAGGTTGACATGGAGGAAGGGGGGCCACCGCTCCACTTGCCCTGTCTGGGTGTGGCAGGGTGGGGTCTAGTGGAATAGGAGTGTCAGTGCAAGCCCCAGCTCCATCTGAGCCCTGGCTGGCTGGGCTCAAATGGGGCTCCATCAGTCACTGTTCCAGCTAGGCTGTGCTGCAGGGCTCTGAGGGCCAGGGGCCCCCCAAACTTCAGGGTTCCTCCTATATCTGGGAAGAAAGGTGAGTCCTAAAGATGAACTGCCAAGGAGTAAAGTGGTGACTGAGTGGAGAGTGCTAGGGACAGGACAGGCAAGGAGGGAGACACTTAAAAGAGCACCCAGCCATCCCACCATCTTCACAGCAGGGCCGGAAGGGTTCCCTGTCTCCTCGTTACACACCCTATTGCCACTTCTCTTCCACTTCACAGATGCCTCCCCTCCCCTCTAGGAATCCTGTCCCCCATGGGCTGGGAGGTGGTAGGCGCAGTCTGTGAAGGTCAAAGCACCTGAAAGTTTCAAGTGAGCTTCAATGGTCTTTTGAAAGCACCAGAAAATGTCCATTTACCCACGATAAGATTGCCTGTTCTAAGTAAAATGTCTCTTTCTTTGCTTTTGGTTGGATTTGTATTTACTCAGCAGGTAACCCTGCTTAGCCCATGTTGATCAAGAGTTCTGAGTGGCAGTTACATATGTCTAGAGTTAATTAACAAATTAGAAAACCAAACAGTTAGTACCTAATGCATTAGATAGCAACTAGTTTGAGAGACTACATCTTTAAAGGAGAAATTATAAAAAGAATCCTAAGGCCCAGTGCGGTGGCTCACACCTATAATCTCAGCACTTTGGGAAGCCGAGGTGGACGGATTACTTGAGGCCAGGAGTTCGAGGCCAGGAGTTCAAAACCCGCCTGGCCAACATAGCAAAACCCCATCTCTACTAAAAATACAAAAAATTAGCTGGGTGTGGTTGTGCATGCTTGTAGTCCCAGCTACTTGGCAGCCTGAGGCACAAGAATCACTCGAACCGGGGAGGTGGAGGTTGCAGTGAGCCGAGATGGTGTGGGTGACAGAGACGACTGTCTCAAAAAAAGAAAAAAGAATTATTGCTGCAAACATTGGGAGGCTCTGTCAAACAGGCTTGTGCCAAAGGGCCGCCAGGATCCTCAGGGCTGGCAGTCTGGTGATAAGATGTGCTCACGGGTTTCTTTAAAAACCAACTTGGTCTTCTCATGTTTGTTATATCTGAGATACTATTTCCTATTATGTTTAACACAGGAGCTAGGAGTCAGGCAGCCACACTTGAACCCAGTCCGGTACTTATTAGGTTCTGTGAACTTGGGCCAGTTACTCTTAGCCTCAGCCTCAGTTTCCTCATCTGTAAAATGGGGATAATAACTACCCCATCTCACAAGGCTGATGTAAACATTAAATGAGGCAATACACATAAAGTGCTGAGTACTGAGACTGGCACACACTAGGCTCAATACATCTTTTTTTTTTTTTTTTTTGAGACTGAGTTTTGCTCTTGTTGCCCAGGCTGGAGTGCAATGGCACGATCTCGGCTCACTGCAACCTCTGCTTCCCAGGTTCAAGTGATTCTCCTGCCTCAGCCTCCCAAGTATCTGGGACTACTGGGGCCCACCACCATGCCCAGCTAATTTTTGTATTTTTAGTAGAGACGGGGTTTCACCATGTTGGTGAGGCTGGTCACAAACTCCTGACCTCAGGTAATCCACCCATGTCGGACTCCCAAAGTGCTGAGATTACAGGCGTAAGCCACCGCGCCTGGCCAATAAATCTTATTAGTATGATTGTTGTCATTATTACTAGTATGGTATTTGTATAGCCATGACATGGACAGGCCTGAGGACATGGGTTTGGATCTGCAGCAGTATCAGGCGGGTTGTGTACCTGGGGGTGTGAGGAGAGAGCTTTGGGCCTTTGAGGGAGACTAGGAAGAAGGACCCGCTGTCACCCACCTGCCAGCTCCAATGTGACCGAGCAGGTCTGCGTGCCGTGACGGTTTCGGGCAGTGCAGGTGAGGGCCCCCATGTCCCGGCGGCTCACCCGGCAGATCCGAAGACAGTACTGGTCATCATCTGGCTGGCTCAGCTCATACACACCTGCCCGTGCCTCTAGGAGGGCCCCTCGGCAGCTAAGGGACACATGACAGGGAGGTCACCCAGATCTTGCCCCAGGAAATTCTGGCCAGGCTGGGCCAGACCTGAGCAGCCACATGTGGGAAAGGGGCTCACCTCCTCCAGACGACCTGGGCCTCCACATGGTTGAATGTGACGGTGACACTGGCAGGCTGTCCCTCCACCACATACACGATGTCCGGTTTGTCCAGCACGGCAGGGGCCTCCTCCAGGGGTGGGCCTGGGAGAAGGAGAGTGCAGGCTCTGTGCTGGGCTTGACGCCAGGTCCTCAGCACACACCACTCCTTTAACACCCCTCATCAACACTTGAGCTCCGTTTTTATAGATGGGGAAGCTGAAGCTCAGAGAGCTTTAGCGATTTGTCCAGGGAACACAGCCAGGGAGTGGCAAAGCTGGGGTTGTGGGGTTGGACTCCAGCAGGCCCGATCCCAAAGCCTGAGCTTCGGCCACTGTGCCCTGCTGCTTTCAGGAGGGAGAAGGAAGTGTATAGATGGGCCAAGGTCCTGCCCAGCCTGGTTGCTCCTGCCAGATACCATGTGCAGGCCAGCCCTTCAGCCTCCACCACAGGGCCCCGTTCCCCATCCCAGCATCTCCCACCCCTACCCAACAGGAGCACCCAGGCTCACCGTGCTCCAGCAGCTGTACAGGCTCAGAAGGGGGCGAGGGCTTGCTGCTGCTCTTGACAGTGGTGCTGAGGACCCGGAAGATGTGCTGGACCCCCTTACGCAGCCCCGTGGCTGCCCACCCTGGCTCCCGCAGGCCTGTGACCAGTGCTGTCCACTGGTCCGAGCCCAGCACCTGGTGCTGCACTGTGTACGTTAGGGAGTCCGGGTCTGGCGGGAGAGGAGCTACTAGAGACTGGTGTTACACGAGCAGCACCCCCTCCCCATCCAGCTGGACTGGGACCCTGGAACTCATCATTAGTCTGCTCTGAGGACATGCCTCAGTCCCTGCTGTTGCTTCCTCTCTGTCCCCCAATCTGCTCTTGCCCAGCCACTTCCCTGGGATGTTTAGAGCCAACAAGATACCAGTTACAGGTACAGATGGGGCTGGAATTGAACTCTAATTCCTTGATACCTGAGGCAGGGAAACTGAGGCAGAGTGGAAGGAGATCCTGGACAAGAGGAGGAGAGGGCATTTGCAAGTCCTGACCCAAGCACCCAGTCCCTCTGAGAATAGGAAGGGAATGTGGCAGTGCCCCGTGCCTCCTCTCCTGACTCAGAGCGAGAACACCATGCACCGTGGAGAGAAGACGGGCAAAGCTGTTCCTGCCAGCATTCCATCAGCTCCTGCCCCTGCCCATCTGTTTCTAGGGTCTGGCCCCCATGGTGCCCTGCCTGAGCCTGCGCTGTCCACACCCCTTCCCCACCCACGGCCCTGTGCAGCCCTGACCCACCAATGGCCATGTCCAGACTCCTGGGGGGGTTCCATGTGAGTGTGACCATCCTCCCCGTCACAGCCACCACCTGCGGGGCACCATCTGGAGGGCCTGGGACCACATCTGAAAGCCACAGGTCAAATGTCTGCTGGGCCCAAGGGCCCAACAGCCCCACAGGATCACCAAGCCTCAGGGCAGGAGTCTAGGGCCTGGGGTCTCAGCCGCAGGGGCAGGGGCAAGGGCAAAATGGGGGGGTCCCCAGGGGATGGAGGGGAAGGGAGCTGATGTGGAGGCCCCTTTCCCTGAGACCCCAGGTAGTGCCAGAGGCCAGGCTGTGCATGCAGCTGACCACGAGGGTGCCTGCCTCACCTGTGACATACAGGTGGGCATAGCAGGCAGCTTTGCCCAGCTTGTTGGCGATGACGCTCTTGTAGACACCGGCGTGCTGAGGCCCCACGGCAGGGAACACCAAGCGATGGACATCCCTGTCTGGTGGGGGAGGGACAGTGACACTGGGCCTGAGCCTGGAGGATACCTTGAGGGGTAGGCCTATGCCATCCCGGGCCTGGTCCCTCATCCCCATCCACTGTAGGGAGGAGGCGAATGGGGAAGGATGGGGCAAGGATGGGGCAGACAGCAGGAAGTGCATCCACAGCAAACTCCGGGTCCCGGCCCGAGCTGGCTTCCAAGTGTACATCTGCCCTGACCCCTCCGGTCTGTTCCTCCAGTGTATCAGGCCAGGCAACTTATCATCTTTGCTTCCTCCTACACTGGGCACCCTCTAGGGTCCCTGCCCCTGTTGACTGGCCCCTCGTCTCCCCACCTCTGCAGGGTCACAACCTCTATGTCAAAACTCGAACAAGGTTTTGCTCCCAAGGCCCCTCCCCTAAGCCCTTCTTCTCCATCCCCAGGCCACTGCCATTCTGTCTCCAGCGCAGCTGCAGGGAAGCCCTCCAGGAGGGCAGCAAAGCCCTCAACCCGAACTCCCTGCCAGCCACGTCTCTGATGCTCCTCTGCATCTCGATACTGGCAAACCGTCAGGCCCCTGAACGAGCCGCTGAGTTCCATCTCCAGGTCATCGCTCGCAACATTCCTCCCTTGTGGAATGCTCTCCTCTTACCTGAGGCTTCCTTGTCCTTCAAGACATAGTTCAAGTGGTGCAGCCCATGAAGCCCTCCTGCCCCTGGCCCGCTCTCTACCCCTCATCCTCGGACTCCTCCCAGGACCCCAACCCTCTCGCTTGCACATCGATGGGCACTGGCCCACACTGCTTTTCACGGGTGGGGGCTCTTCCTCTTGCATAAGTCGTAGCTCCTGACCTGGCCTGCAAGCTCCTTAAAGACAGGGCTGACTTTGTCAGATCTGCTTGTCCCACCAGACCCAGAACCTCACACACACTAAGTGCCAAATACATTCTATGATATATTACAAGAGTTGCCTGCTCTGTGCCCAGCCTGTACCAGGTACCTGACATGCTTTCCCCACCTGGAATCCTCACAACAACTCTACAAAATTATCCCCATTTTACCAATGAGGTCGGAGATATTGACTTGGTCAAGGTCACACGGCTAATAAATGAGGGCTTGACCTTGGTTCCATGTGATTCCAAAGCTCTTTCCCTACTCCCTGCTCCCTGGATGATAAGGAAGCTGTCTCTGGCGAGGACACAGAGAGGAGGCCTGCACTGTCCTCCTTTGTGTCAGGGCTGTCCCCAGACACCCCTCCCTTCTCTTTGCAGTTATCTCCGCATAGAACAGTTACCCATTCATTTATCTCTGCTGACACTATTTATAAGAGAAGAGAAGCCAAGGGCTGCCAGTGACCCTAGATACAGGCAGAAGCAGAGACGCCAGCTCAGATCCTGAGACAGACACTCACCCAGGACCTCAGAGCAGACTGAGAGACAGGGAGGCCTGCTGCTGAGAATGACAGTCATGGGAGGCTGTGGGCAGGGGTGGGAGCAGGGGTGGCATCACTGGAGATGGGCGGGCGGGCAGGGAGAATGTAGCATGGGTGACAGGGACATCCTGGTTAGGAGCTGGGCACCAGGGTCAGACAGTCCTTTCTTGCCTCTGGGCAGCTTCCTGTATCTCTTTAAGCCTCAGTTTCCTCATCTGTAAATGGGGCTAATAGTACCCGCCTTATAGGCCTGTGGCAAGGTAAGATGGTCCTTGTCATACCTTTAGCTCTCAGGGCCTGGCACTTAGAAAGCACTTAATGAAGGTGATCTCTGTCATGTTGCAGCCGTAAGAGGAAACCGTCATGGGTCAAAGAGTGGGCACTGTCTTATGGGAGGTGGGCAGACATTCTCACACAAGACTCAGATTCCTTCAAGGATGGAACTGAGATGCTCCCATGAGAAAATGTCCCAGGCTTAGAGGACACCAACCCAAATATGTTCCTCTGTGTCTCCCCTGACCCCTTCTTCTTTATTTGTTATTTGTTAACAACACTGGGCAGAGCACCCTTTCCATGCCAGACACTGCCCACACCTGCTTTTTCATTGCAGTGTCTCCAGGAAGTACCACCACTGATGATAATGGCTACTAAAACAGGAACAGTGAGACGTCACACCTCCCGACTGCTTGCCAGGTGTCAGGCCCTGCTCTAGGGCTTATATGTATTAACTGATTTAGTCTCATAACAACCCAATTACAGATGAGAAACTGAGGCACGGAGGGCTTCTGTAACTTGCTCATGGGCCCGATGCAGGTTAGCAGCAGGCTGTACTACCTGCCCAGTCAGTGCTAACAGGCACCAAGGGGTGACTCAACAGATGAGTGCTGTGCTGTGCAGGCTTGCAGGGGAGGCAATGACCTCACAGTCCCTCTGGGTTCCCTTCCCCCAGGTGCCCTGTCCCTGGTCAGGCTACAGAGGGAAGGCCTGGGGAAAGCTGGGGAGAGGGGCAGGGCATTGCAAACCAAGAGGATGCTGCAGGGGACACTCCCGGGGTCCTTCCCAGACACGTACACTGTGTCATGCGCCGGTCGTCGCTGCTCTGGATGCGGTGGCCATTGTGGAACCAGCTGATGGTGGGGTAGGGCAGGCCGGTCACCTGGCACTCTAACATGGCCTCCTTGGCCAGTCCCACCTCCAGGTCCTGCAGTGGCCGCAGGAAGTCGGGAATGGACAGCCGCTCCAGCTCACCCTGCTCTGGCTCCTCGGGAATGGATGGCATCTTCTCCAGCTTCGAGCTGCAAGACCATACGGCTGCCCAGAGGCCCAGGGCCATGCCTCCCACCCCAGGGCTAGGCTGGCCCCTCACAGGCAGCCCCGGCATCATGTGGGGACCCGGTGGTACCTGGGGCCTGAGGCAGCTGTCCGGGGCTCTTCTACATACAGCTGGGCTGAGCAGTGGGCCTGGCCATGGGTGTTAACAGCACTGACCGCATAGAGCCCCTCGTCCTCGCTGCCCACATGGGCAATGTGGAGTGAGTGCAGACCCCCATCCTGCCGTAGCCGCAAGTTCTCACTCTCCTCCATGGGGCGGCCTGCAGGAGGGAGGAGTGGGAATGCGGAGCAGGCACAGTGACAGGCCCTGCCCTCTGGGTGTACCCCATCCCCGCCTGGGCCCTTGGGGGGCCCTCAACACCTGCAGCCTAGGGGCCGTACCAAAATGAGTCCAGGTAACAACAGGGGGTGGGGTGCCGCTGATCTTGCAGTCGAAGCGGGCAGCTCGGCCCTCCAACACCTCCACATCTTCCAGCAGCCGTGTGAACAGGGGTGCCAATGAGGGCCGCACGGTCAGCCGGGCACTGCAGGTCAGCTCATCTGGGGGTCAGGGGGCAGCTCAAAGACAGGGAAGGCCAAGGAGGCCCAGGCATCCCAACCCGCCACTCCTGACCTAAGGCTGAAGCTAGAGCCTGGGCAGAGCCCAGCAAAGGCTCTGGGTACCCAGGGGAGGCAGTAGGCACAGATCCAGAGACCAGACCTTCTCGAGAGGGTGGAAGTCAGCAAGGGTGGGCTCAGGCTGCCATGTGGGCTGGGGACTCCATAGGAGCCTAGGGCCTGGCCCCAGCTCTCCCCTCTTCCCCTCACCCTGCCCACCCTGGATGAAGCACAGCCCAGCTCTGACAGGGTCCTAGAAGCCCAGCCCAGCCCTCCTCCATCTCCATCTCAGAATTCTCCTCCGTGCCGGGATCATGCCCATGCTCCTAGCCACCTGCCCCAGACCCAGAGCAGATGCCCCTTGGCCCCACTCTACCAAACTCCAAAGAAGCTTCTGGAAGAGATAAGGGTCCCTTATGCTGACCCGATGCACCCTCCTGCTTCGAAAGCCCCTCCAGCTTCTGCTTAGCTCTTCATCATCCACAACGTGGTGAGGCAGGTACCATCATCTCTGCCCTTCCATGAGGGCAGGCCCAGGTCAGAGATAGCATCAGTGGTAACAATGGCTGGCATTTATTAAGCAGGTGTGCCATTTGAAACCCATTTCTGGAATGGTCGGTGCCCTACCCTCTCCTGGAAAGGCCCTTTGACAGGCCCTGTGCTTCGTTCTTCACATACACTATCTCATTAATCCTACCAATCCTTCTACAAAGGAGGCATGATCACCATCCCTGTTCTACAGATGAACAGGCTAAAGCTCAGAGAGATGAAGTGACTTGTTCAAAGTTATGTGGCTGGTGACTTGCAGGGCAGGCGTTGGAACCCACATTCACCTCAGCAGACACATTCCCTCCTAGGAACAGTTAACCGTGTTGCAGCCTTTCCTTTGTGCTACGCACTATTCTAAGTGCTCATTTTACTGAGGCCAGGGCAGTGTACTAGCTCCCACCCCCCACACTTCCCCTAGGGGTTGGAGCTCTGTTTCCCGGGCATCTTATTCTGCACCTCCAGTCCCCTCCCTCCATCTCTTGGGCACCCACGGCAGCCCTAAGGCCTGAGTGGGGAGTTACCTTTGGCTGTGCTGAGCTTGCAGGTGTAGACGCCACTGTCGTCCTCATGTACAGATGTAAGCAGCAGCTTGCATTTGCGGCCATCGAAATGCATCTTGCATTTGAGCAGTGCAGGCTGCAGCAGGCGACCACGGCACAGCCAATCCACCTCCACATCAGTGGGCCCCGCCACCAGGCACTCAAACAGCGCCATCTCCCCGGCCCCCACGTCCACGTCCTGCAGGGGGGCCAGCACGGCCAGGGACCGGCTTTCAGGGTGTGCTGAGGGGAAAGCAGCCACGGGGGCCACGCACAGAGCAGAGACACACAGGGTGAGGGAGACACACATACGCACGCACAGAGAGACAGACAGACACAGAGAGAGAGATGCATTTTGTTCTCTGGAGATGGGGAAAGCCCACCCACCTGGCCAGGACAGCAAGGCATGCCCAGACCTGGCTTCAAGATGTCAATCCAAGCTAGGCCAGGGAGGGTAACTCATGGAGGCAAGAGGGAACTGAGGGAGGGGAAACCGAGAGGGCCATGTGGTGGCAGAGACAGCGGCGGGGAAAAAAAAAAACACAACACACCAGCTGGGTACAAACTGGACTTTATTTGAGTTAAGAAATAGGTGTTTCCAAATCTCTCCACACTCACTACAGTGGCCCCTTGCCCCTGCTCCTGCACCAAACCTGGTTAACTCCCTCATTCCCAGACAGAGCATCCCCAGCCCTGACAGGGAAGGAGGGAGCCCCAAATGGTCCCTCAACCTGCCAGGGCCAGGGCTCAGCCACGCTGTTCATCAGCACAGAGCCTGGGGCCTCTGGCTTTTGGTCTTTTGTGGAATAGAAAGTGTTGTGCCATTTGAAACCCATTTCTAGAATGGTCAGTGTCCTAATCCCTCCTGGTAAGGCCCTTGTCAACAGCCCCTGCTCCTTGGGCCCCTCCACGCCATGCCCTAATCTCTCCCATTCTGTCTCACCCCACCTCAGCTCAGAGGCATCCTTCCCTGACTGTCACAGACACACAGACAGACAAACAGATAGACAGGCCTGTAGCAGCAGTAGCACATGCACTCGCCCGGTGCTCCCCTTCAGGGAGAGACTCAGGGGGATGATACCCCTCACAGCCACCCCTTCCCAGCACTCAGTCCATCTGTGGGCCTCCTGGCCTGCACAGCCATGTGTCCACTTGGGGAGGGAGGATCCACAGGGGCCCATGGGCTATCCCCCTGGGGGCTGCATGGGGTGGGGAGGGGAGGCTGGGACGGGTCCGGGCCGGCGGGCCTGGGTCTGTGGGCAGGAGGCAGTGAAACACAGCGAGGTCCGAGAGGTGCCTGAGACAGGGGCGCGGCTCGGAGGGTAGCGGGGGGAGCGCAGGTGGCCCCCTGAGCTCACTCGCCTGTGTACAGACAAAAACCTCAGTCAGCAAGCGGCAGGTTAGTGCAGCATACGCGCACGCGCACACACACACACACGCATGCACTCACACATGCACGCACACGCACACACCTATGCACACACACATGCATACGCACACATGCACACACACGCATATATGCACGTGCACACGCACACGCACACATGCACGCACAGTCACGCAGACCTGGCTAGGGCCCTTCTGCATAGAGGGCTGCCTCTCACACTGCCAGGGCAGCACTGCCACTCTTGGTTCCCCCAAGGTCAGCTCTGGGCTGGGAGGGCCCGGCAGCTAGTCAGAGACTGGTTCCTCAGGGTTCCTGGGCAGGCAGAGACCCCGGGCAACCAGGCATTCATGGGATCAGGAGCATCCCGAAGCCTGGGGGTGTTGGAAGGAATCCCCAAGAGAAAGTAGCACCGAGACACGGGTTAATACAGAGAAGCGAGGCAGAGCCAGGCCCTGGAGAGGAAGCAGGCCGAGGAGGAAGGCTGAAGAATCTGGAGACCAAGGAAGTGGCAACTACAGGAATGGCGGGCACAGAGGAGGGGAACTGAGGCAAGGGGGCCAACAGAGGGACCATGACTGTCAGGGTCCGAGCTCTGAGTCTTGGGGAAGGTCAGGGGCTGGGGGCTGAGTGAGAATCGAGGAGAGGAAGCAAGACGCCATTGAGGCAAAGGGTGAGGTGGAAGGCAAGACAAACGGCTGTGGCCTTCGGGGAGGAAAACCCACGGCCCTCGAGGGCCCCCTAGCCAGGGCCTGTCATTCCTGCTGCCTGAGACAGCCCCTTCACATAATGCCCCAGGCTCTGGGGGCCTAGGCCTCTTCACACGTCACAGCTGTGCTCACCCTGGCATCCTAGGGTCCCTGTGATGCTCCAAGCCTAAGCCACCCCAAGGGCCCCTCCGAACGGGTCCAGCCACCAGACTCTCCCCACCGCTACCTCACAGTAACTTCTGCACAGCAATGGGATGGGAGGGTGGGCAAAGGGGTGAGAGGAGAGGGGGAGGGGGATGAGGGAGGGTCCTGGGCAGAGCAGGGTGACAAAGGCTCAGAAGAGTGTAGAGAGCGCTTGGCCAGTGGCAGGTGCAGGGTCTCTGGCTGCCACCAGGGCTCCGTGATGGAGCAATAGGGAAGGTGGTGTTGTGTAGTAAGCTGAGCACAAAATAATGTGCTGTGCAGCTTTGGGCAGGTCACTTCCTGTCTCTGGGCTTTGGTTCACTCAACAATAATATAAGCAGCTGGACTAGGGGACTGGTGGCATCCTCTAACTGAGGCTGCGTGAGAGCGGACTGTGGGGGCAGGGAGGGACCAGGGCCAGGTGGGCTTTCATGGAGAAATAAGGTACTCACCTCGGACCTCCAAGCGGGCCTCGCATTGCCGAGCGCCATACTCATTGACCGCTTTGCAAGTGTAGAAGCCAGCATCGCCACGTTCTGCAGCCAGGATCCGCAGCTGGCACAGCCCACCCTCAGCCTCCTCCGCAAAGCGCCGCTGGTCTGGGCGCACGGGCTGGCGGTTTCTCAGCCTGTCAGAGGGGCGAGAACTCAGTCCCGGGACCCAGGGGCCTGATGTGCGTGCACAGGAACTGGGGCTGCAGCACTGTGTAGGCCTCTCCTTCCCTGTGCAGTTTGCCCAGTCCCCAGATCTGTCCCACCGAACGCAGGCATCCCTGGTTTCCAGGGCTAGGTTTTTACCCCCCCTCTGCCATCCCACCCACCTCTAGGAGCTTCCAGGTCACTTCTAACTGCCTGGAGCTCTCCCTTCTCAGAACCCTGCTGCACTCAAGAGTGGAGCCGTGCTATTTAGCTCTTTTTTCTTTTCTTTCCTTCTTTTTTTAAACAGGGTTTTGCTCTGTCACCCAGGCTGGAGTACAGTGGCACGATCACAGCTCACTGCAACTTCTACCTCCCCAGGTTCAAGCGATTCCCCCACCTCAGCCTCCTGAGTAGCTGGGACTACAGGCACCGCCACCATGCCCCCCTAATTTTTGTATTTTTTGTAGATACAGGGTTTCATCATGTTGCCCACACTGGTCTTGAACTCCTGGGCTCAAATGATCCTCCTCTCTTGGCTTCCCAAAGTGCTGGGATTACAGGCATTGAGCCCTTATGCCTGGCCCTATTTAGCTCTTAATAATTCTTAAACTTCCCCATTTCTTATTTTTATTTATTTATAATGGATAGATAGCTTTCCCACTTCCCAAAGGGGATATGAAAAAACTTACAATGTTTAAAAACAAAACAAAACAAAACAGTGGGGTCTGGGCACGGTGGCTCATGCCTGTAATCCCAGCACTTTGGGAGGCCAAGGTGGGTGGATCACCTGAGGTCAGGAGTTAGAGACCAGCCTGACCAGAAACCCTGCCTCTACAAAAAATACAAAATTAGCTGGGTGTGGTGGCACCCAGCTACTCAGGAGGCTGAAACAGGAGAATCCCTTGAACCCAGGAGGTGGAGGTTGCATTGAGCCCAGATCACGCCACTGCACTCCAGCCTGGGCGACAAGAGTGAAACTCCATCTTAAAAAAAAAAAAAAAAAAAAAAAAAAAAAAAAAAAAAAAAAAAAACTCACAGTGGGGACCAGACAATCAATTAAAAATGAAAAACAGAACTCAAACCAATAAAAAATTAGTAAACTGAGTAATCCATGTTCCAGGCACCTGGGATGAGCAAGGCCCCTCTGCTTAGACCTACATTGAACTCTGGGCTGCTGGCAGCTCAGCAACAAATTATTGTGTGCTTTTTTTTTTTTTTTCAGCAATAGGATCTCGCTATATTGTCCAGGCTGGAGTGCAATGGCATGATCATAGCTCACTGCAACCTCAAACTCCTGGGCTCCAGTGATCCTCCTCCTCACCCTCACAAGTAGCTGGGTCTACAGGCATGTACTACCATATCCAGCTAATTTTTAAGCAATTTTTTGTAGAGACAGTCTCACTATGTTGCCCAGGCTGGTCTTGAACTCCTTGGCTCAAGCAATCCTCCTTCCTTGGCCTCTGAAATGTCTTGCTTCTTGCCAATTTGGGGAGGGGGGTGTTTTTGTTTTTGAGACAGGGTCTCACTCTGTCACCCAGGCTTGAGTGCAGTGATGTGATCTCAGCTCACTACAGCTTCCACCTCCCAGGGTCAAGTGATCCTCTCGCCTCAGCCTCCCAAGTAGCTGGGATTACAGCCATGCACCACCACATTTGGCTAATTTTTTTGTATTTTTAGTAGAGACAGGGTTTCGCCATGTTGGCCAGGCTGGTCTCAAACTCCTGGCCTCAAGTGATCCACTCGCCTTACCTCTCAAAATGCTGGGATTATAGGCTTCAGCCACCATGCCCAGTCATTTATCCCAAATGGACAAATGGACAGACATGAGACCCAAACCCCTCTCCAGAAGGGGAAGCCCTAAATAAGCCTGGAACGTGGGGCAAGGGACAGGGTGCCGGGGGGAGTACACTGCTGTCCCTAAGATGAGGCCCCCGAGGCACATTATGGGGAAGCCCACCAAGGTTCCATCTTCTTCCACCCAAAGCCAGACCTCCCAGAGCCAAGCCTAGCATAGAGTCGCTGGTGGGTGGTGGGAAGTGCGGCTACTCACCAGGAGACCACAGGCTTGGGTTCCCCCTGCACACGGATGCTCATGATGACATCTTGGCCTTCTCTTACTGACTGGTCCATAAGTGAGACCTGAAGCGGGTACCCCAAAGTGTCAGGGAGAGACAGTCAGGGCAGAGCCTTGGGTCCTGGGGGCTGTGGAATCTGAGACGGAGGCCTCTTCCACAGCCAGACTGAGACTGGCTCTGGGTAAGAGCATTTAAATGAGAGCCAAGTTCCAGGTCTTGCTGGTGCCTAAGCATGGTCCCAAGAACAAGGGGTCACCCAAAGGATCGAGGACACACAGGAGGCTGGGCCCCAGCCTCAGGGGTCTGACCTTGAAGGTGGGGGGTGCCTTGGAGCCAGTGTCAGAAGAACGGCGGTTCTGGCTGGGACTGGTCTTCATGGTGGGGGTTCGAGGCCAGGTCTCCCCAGGCTCTGGAAACTCCTCTGGAGGGCTCAGGTACTCCTCGTCGGAGGTGATGGGGCTGCTGAAAGGGGATGCAGATCCACCTGGAGAGAGACAAAGATAGCTGCCAGGGAGGAAGGCTTGCAGAGAGCCTGGGAGAGCTGGCTGGAATGTCGCCCAGAGACCAGGAGTTGCGGCAGCTCCCCACAGGCCAGCCCTGCCCGGACTTCACTCCCAGGCTCCTGTGACCTCGCCCAGCTGCTTCCCTTCCCTGAGCCCCTGGAACCTTGTCTGCCACTGGTTCTGCCAACACTGACCCTGCTGATCCTCCCGGGAGGGGACACCATAGGGAAAGGCCTGGGACAAAGGGTTCGGGCAGCAGAGGGGCCACTCCTGAGCCTGGCGGGAGAATTCCACTGGAGCAGGGAACCCACATTCCTGACATGGACTAGTGGCCTAAACTACCAACTGCAGGCTCTGAAAGCAGGGGGTGCAGGTCTATGGAACCCTGGAGCAGCATGGCTAGGATGCCCATTTCTTGGGCAAGCTGGGCCTGGTGCAGAGGAACACACACCACAGACAAGACACACCCTGACCTCGGTCCAGGGCCAATGAGGTGGCACCATCTAGCCTGCCCCTCCCCCTTTCCCTTCTCAGCTTCCTGCCGTGCAAACCCCAGGGGCACCTATTGGCCACAGCCCTACAGCCTGCACCCCCAAACACTTGAGGGATATAAAAACAGAGCTGGAGTCATCCACAGAAAAGGGCAGCTCAGCCTGGGGAAGAGGAGGGGGGCACCAGAGTCAGCCTTGTGGGAGGGGTGTCCCCAGGGCCCTGACGCCCTCCCCTGCAACTGGCCAGGGGCCCAGTCTCGCTGAACTGGCTCCTATCCGACTGCCAAATACAGACATGAAACTGCCACAGCCCCCTGGCTTCTTCCCCAGGTCCCCCCACCCCAAGCCCTCAGCAGGGCTGTACCCCAACTCACCCCGAGGCTCTGCACACAGACGCCCAGCCTGTGCCTGTCCTGAAGGCTCTGCCCTGGCACCAGGCCCTTCTGCTGCCTGCCCACTGCCCACCCCAGCCTGTCTCCCCAGGGAGCAGGAGCCCAGCCTGTCCAGCCTGCCCAGCCCCACTCACTCGGCTGACCCCGCTGAGGCCCTACACGGAGAAGGCCCTGGGGGAGGGGAAGGCGCCTGAGGAGGGGAAGGAGGAGGTTGGATGGCAGGCCGGCAGGCAGCTGGCTGGGAAGCTGGTGCCTGCTGAGACCACAAGCAGCCTGGGCCCTGGTGTGGAGGGGGAGGAGAGGGGAGAGGGGAGGGCGGAGTGTGGCCGTCTGGATTTAGCCACTCTGCTCACTCCCAAGCCCTGGGATCTGTCTTTCCTCTCCTTACAGCTTCGGACCCTGACAAGAGCAAAGCCCGCTCTGCAGCGCCTTGACTCAAGGTGTGGGGCCTCCGTCCCCGAGCAAGACAGGGGAGGGGTGGCACTGCACTGTGCCAATCGAGACGCTTGCCCTGATCCATTTGTTCCGACACATCCACCAAAGGAGGTGCCTGTGGGAAATGTTCCCTGTGTTGCCCCTTGCTCTGATGGAACCACCAAGATTCCTGATGTGGGAATGTGCTAACGAGTCTCAAATACTGCAGAGCCAGGGCATACCTGTTTTCTTTGGCCCCGAAAATCAGAGAACTGTCAAGACCTTTGCCCTCCTTCCCAGAGGTGGCAGAAGAATCTGAGGGGGCCCAGAATCCCACCTCTGCCCCTTCATCCCTGCCATGGAAGCTCTGGCCAGCAGCCACCCCAGGGCACTAAGCCCACATCCAGCCTTCCTACCCATTCCCCCGGGCACCTGTTGGCAACTTGCCCACCACCCATCAGCCCCGCTAGGGAGGACAGCGGGGGCTGATTCCCCCAAATGGCCCCTTGTCATGAGCACCCATTTGTATCTGGGTTGGGGAAGGGGCTTGGACACGGAGCCTGAGAGAAAGGGGCTGTTCAGGAGGGGTCACATGTCCTTCTCCCTCTTCCTATCACCTCACCCCCCGCAGGGACACATTCCCAAGCCATGACCTGTGTTTCCCAGCATGGCCAGTGAGGAAGGAGGGCTGGGGGCTGGGCAGAGGAGGGGTCCATTGTTCAGGGGGGCTGTCTTGAGATAGGGTTGGGGAGAGAAGTCAGAATGGCATTTGGTGCTTAAGGCAGCTGATGGCTGAGATCACAGGCATGGCCCCGCAGGTGGGCGGTCCTACCCCTCTGTGGAGCCTGGAGTCCTGCCCCAGGGTCACCTCCAGGCTGGACAGTACTGAGGAGGCTCACAGGCCCAGGGACCAGGAGCGGAAGCAGAGCTGAAGACCAGATGGTCAAGGTTTGCAGGGAGCCTCAGAGACCCCTGGTGGTGGCCAGGGGAACATCATGCTGGAGGGCATCCAGTCACCAAGCGAGCCCCTATCCTCAAGCCCCTTGGAGAGAGAGACTGTCAGAGCAGCCCAGGCCTCTTCCAGACAAGGCAGTAGCCCCTGCCCCTCCACACCTCCAAAAGTGAGTGACCAAGGAGGCTGATCAAGGATTCCTGAGGCTCCATACCAGAATCCGGTGCCACCTAGTTTTTTCCCTGGCCCCATAGCCAAAACCATCTTTGGAACCAGTCCCTGACATCCCAGCCCTGCTCCACCTACAAACCCAACTCTCACTGTGGGAAATACAGTTACATCAGCCAGGAAGGAGGGGGCAGGTGCCCCCCTAAACCTAAGAGGCACATACACTCAATGGCCCTGAACAACCTGCCACGGAAGTACCGCCCCTTCACACTGGCTCCCAGTCCCCCACGCTGACCCAGTGCTCACGTCTGCCCTTCCAACATCACTCTCAGCTCAAACTCATTTGATGAAAATACTGGCGTTAGGAAGCACACAGGGAACTCCCTCTCCTCAGACCAGCACATCCACCGGCCCCAACTGTTTCAGTGTCCCCTGATGTGTTCTCACAATAGACAGAATTGCAGCCACTACTGCGACTATCTAGTACATAAAAGGTGTCACACACGGCCCTTTGCTTCAGGGCTTCTCAGAATGACACTTGACCTACTCACATCAGGACCACCTCGGGCTCATTTAAAATATAGATTCTTCAACCTTACTCCAGCCTGCAGAATTAGATTTTCTGAAATGAGATGTCAGGAAACTGCATTTTAAAAAGCACCCCAGGTGACCCTTAGGTACATGAAACCTTAGGGACCACTGCTGACCTACATGGGAGGACAGCCCTAAGAGGTGCCATCACTGAGCCCCTCATCACTGGACCATTCAACCTCAGAGCAGGGCTTTGAACCTAGGAGGTTTGGCTTCACAGCCTGTGTGCTTCCCATGGCATGACCTGGCCTTCCATCTTGGGCACAATCTCTAACTCTATGGCAGTGGTTTTCAAAGTTTTCTGTTTATCAGAATCACCTGGAGGGCTCCTTAGACCACAGAGTGCTGGGCTCCACCCACAGAATTACTGATTCAGTAGGTGGGGGCTGAGGCCAATAACCTGCATTTCTTAGGAGTGCAAAACGCTTATTGGAAAAAAAAAAAAAAAGAATCTGCATTTCTAACACAAACTCAGGTGAGGCTGATGTTGCTGGTCTGGGGGCCTCACTCTGAGGACCACTGCTCCATGGTCTTTTTCCCAAGCTCGCCTCATAGGCAGAGCCTCATGACCTTTGTGGCTGGGTGTCATGTCCAGCCTCACCTCTGTGAGTCACCCACATTGTTCAAGGCCTTGAAAAGTCATGGGGGTCTCTGCCTACTCACTGCCACCTCACATGCAGCTCTGCAGTCCACACAGCCCAGCCCCTAACTGTTCAGAAGGGCCCCCAGGCCCAGCTGCCAGTGCTAAGGAGTGGCAAAGACACAGTCATGTCCTCAGGAGCCTTCCGGGTGGTGGGGAAGACAAGCCAGATACACATGCAACTATAAGAGCAAGCAGGAAGTATCAGGTAGCAAGAGAGCAGCAGGTAAGGGGCGTGGGAGTACAGAAGGCAGGAGATGACTTTTGGCTCAGGGAAGAGAGAACTGAAGGAAGAGGCAGTATTGAAATTGCAGTTTGCAGGAAAAAGGGAAAAATATTACAGGCAGAGGAAAGTGCATGCAGAAAAGTTTGAAGCAAAAGGCATGTGTGCAGAGGACTATAGCTCAACTGTCTGTCTATAAACTGGGTAAAGAAGTAAGGAGTGGGGCATCCACTGTTCAAGCACGTGTCTCCTACTGCCACCCAAGGGCCAGCCTCAGGCCTCTGGCTCCTTTTGCCCTATGGGTGCAGATGGTAGAGGCCACCTGAAGGTGTGCAGCCTTTACTCTGCAGGCAAGGTGGACTCCTTACAATTCTTTTTTGGTTTGTTTTTGTTTCTGTTTTTTGTTTTGAGACAGTCTCACTCTGTCGTCCAGGCTAGAGTGCACTGGCATAATCTCAGCTCACTGCAAACTCCACCTCTGAAGTTCAAGTGATTCTCCTGCCTCAGCCTCCCTCAGTAGCTGGGATTACAGGCTCCCACCACCACACCTGACTAATTTTTGTATTCTTAGTAGAGACAGGGTTTCGTTATGTTGGCCAGACTTGTCTCAAACTCCTGGCCTCAAGTGATCCACCTGCCTTGGCATCCCAAAGTGCTGGGATTACAGGTGTAGCCACGGACCCAGTCCATAAACAGTTTTTCTCCTTATGATTCTTGAGGAACGGAGTGATAGGCTGCAGGATAGCCAGCATTTGCCTGTGGCTTAGCCCTTCCCAGCTGGCCCTCCACATGCGCTGTTTCAGTAGGTCCTCCACAGGCAGTTCTTGAAACGTCTGCTGTGGTAACCCCACTGTGGAAAAGTCAGGGAAAGGCAGGACATGGCTGGCCAGGAGGTGGGCATTTCCACAGGGTGCTGACATAAATATTTCCTCTTGGACTGAGAATGGTTGTCTTAGTTCAAAATGTACAAGCTGTCAGATCATTTCACATGGTCAGCCTGACCTAGCCCTAGAAGTGAAGTGATTAATTTTTCTTTTTCTTTTTTTTTTTTTTTGAGACAGAGTTTCCCACTGTTGCCCAGGCTGGAGTGCAATGGCGCGATCTTGGCTCACTGCGACCTCCACCTCCTGGGTTCAAGGGATTCTCTTGTCTCAGCCTCCCGAGTACCTGGAATTACAGGCGCCTGCCACCACATCCAGCTAATTTTTTGTATTTTTTGTAGAGATAGGGTTTCACTATGTTGGTCAGGCTGGTCTTGTACTCCTGACCTCGAGATCCACCCGGCTTGGCCTCCCAAAGTGCTGGGATTACAGGCGTGAGCCGCTGCGCCCGGTCATGATTAATTTCTTACATATGATTATGTTAGTTTGCTCCAGGTGAGAAAAAGTGGCTGCAACAACAGTAAATGAGCTCTCCATACTTCTGACAGGCTGTGAGTGATGGCCTCCGTTCTAGGTACCAGCCTCGGGGCAGCCACCTGTCAGGCAGACCTGTTTCTGGCAGACAGGAGGGTGGAGGAAGGGCTGAGTCTGGGCAAGGGGACCACACCACAGTGCTTTGTCAGGTGTTGTCCAAACCCCCATCAAGGACTGACGATGGGGGCCATGTGGCATCCTCCCCATCGGCAGCCACCGCCATCACAAGGGAGAATCTGTAACTATGCCACAGGTGGCCAGAGACCAGGGGCAAGAGAAGATAGGGACTGACATGGATGCCAAGGTTTTCTTCCTTGTTTTTGTTTTCATGGCCCCCAATAAACAACCTATTTTCTGCTGTGGTCATGTTGATTCTATGAGTGGGACCGGAATGTGCTTTGATGAGCTATATCCCCTGTCCCAAATGTCCTGAGTCAACTCGCCCTCCTCACAGACCCTCAGGAATCTCACCGAGTAGGTAGCCTGACTGGTACGAAGATCCTCACTTTGCCGCCAAGCAAACCATGACAAGCTAAGGTACAATGAAGAGGCCAAGGTCTTGGCTGGAAAATGCTAGAATCTTGGGCTCAAATATAGGAGACCTGTAGTTGAGGGCAGGACTGGAGGTGGCAGGATGAGGCCCAGGCCCATGGGGCCTCCCATATTCCCGCTTCCTCCTGCCCAGCACCCAGAGGACCTCCTCTCAGGGCACATAGTGGGGAAGCTGGGTGTGCTCACATCAGGCATGCAAGGAAACAGAAGGACCACAGCTGTGCCAGAGGTGGGGAGTCAACAGAGGAAGGAGAGAAAGCCCCCAGTCTGACCCACCCACGGAGGGCATCACCAGTGCCCTCCCAGTGAGCTCATGAGCTCAGTTCCACCTCAACCTCAAACTTCTTCAGAGCAACAGGAAAGGGGGTCGGATAGCGTCATGGTTAGGAATGCAGGCTTGAGAGACCGAGACAGTGCTTCAAATCATAGCTCCAGCCTCTAGCTGGCCCTAAGCTCCTAGAGCTGACCATCCCAAGAAGGCAGCCACTAGCCACCTGAGACTATTTAAACACAGTTATTAAAATGAAATTAAATTTAAAATGCAGTTCCTCAGTCACCGCAGCTGCATTTCAAGTGCTCACTAACCATGTGTGGCTAGGGTTACCATACTGGACCATGCACATATAGAGCATCTTCATCACCACAGAAATGTCTATTGATCAATGCTGCTCCAGACAAAACTGCTGGGATTACAGGTGTCAGCCACTGTGTCCAGATAGCAATTTGCTAAAGTTTTCCAAGTCTCAGTTTCCTCATCCGTAATGTGGGCATAATAATAGAACCTACCTCATAAGGCTGGATTAAACAAAATAATCCAATCAACACAGGGCCTGGTATATACGAAGCACTCAGTAAGTGCTAACTGGTCATGTATTATTTATTTATTTACTTACTTACTTATTTATTTATTATTTTTTTGAGACAGAGTCTCACTTTATCACCCAGGCTGGAGTGCAGTGGCACGATCTTGGCTTATTGCAACCTCCGCCTCCCGGGTTCAAGTGATTTTCCTGTTTCAGCCCCCAGAGTAGCTGGGATTATAGGCGTATGCCACCACGCCTGGCTAATTTTTGTATTTTTAGCAGGGATGAGGTTTTGCCGTGTTGGCCAGGCTGGTCTCGAACTCCTGACCTCAGGTATCCACCCGCCTCAGCCTCCCAAAATGCTGGGATTACAGGTGTGAGCCACCGCACCCGGCCTGGCCATGTACTTTTATTTGCACCCCACACTAAGTTTATTTGCTTCATGGGCAGTTACTTCCATCACCCTAAATCACTGTTGCTGATAACATCCCTAGGCAGATTGCAAGTGCTAAATAAAGGCTGCTGGCCTGGTGCTAGCTCTACCTCACTTTCCTATCCACATTTTTGTCTTCTCATCCGTAAAATGGGAATGTCACCACCTGTCACATGTCCCTCCAAGGGATATGTATGGCACAATGTTATCGCCAGGAAGAGATGTGAAAGGGCTTGAGAAAGTCGATGATACTCTCCAAACAGAAGAAACTGTTTAGAGAGATGTAGCACTTGGCACCTAGTTGGCACTCAATAAATACTTGTGTGATGGATGTGGGCAGCGGTGCGGAATGCTTTGCTTTGGTTAAGCACACTTTTCACACTCCCTAGCCACCCGCCCCCATCCACACATCCGCTTTGGGAGAATGACTGTGGTCTCAACAGAATTATTCAGTGGGGTGGAAAGGATGGGAGGGAACTGAGGAGCTGGTAAGGACCAGGTCCTGCCCGCACAGACCCTGCCCCCTAAACCACAGTCCATGGGGCCGCATTCTCTAGTTATCCATTCCCTGGTTCCCATGGCTCCCAACCAGGAATTGAGATCTGTAGACCCTCAAAAGCAGGCCCTATTGGGGTGGACCCCAATAGGGGACTGGGCAGCCAGCCCTGGTTACCATAGCACTGGGCAGGGGGAGGGGGAGGAGCAAGAAGGGGAGGGGCAGGAGCAAGAGAGGGCGGTGGCTGCACGCAGGCCTCTTCCCACAAGACACTGCCCACTGCCTCCCTCTACCTACTCCCCAGTGGGCCCACGGGCAAACTGCTGGACACCGTCCCCTGATTCCACCCCTCACTCCCTGCAGACTCCAGGCCTGGGACCACCCCTTGCCAGATGTCTGTGCCATCCTCAGGTTCCACCCACTTTTGCTGCTCTCAAGTCCACTGGCCCCCATCCAGTCACTCTGGACTAAACAGTGCCTTGTAGGGTAAGAAAGTCAGCTTGCTCTACACAGCCAGAGCCAAGTCTGGACCCACATGCCTGCCCCCCAGGCCCTGGGGCCCCCGAGCCAGCCTGACTTAAGGAGGTGCTGTCTTGCTGCAATGCCTGATGCAACAGACTAATGTGATGAAGGCTTTCTGGCTCCCCAGGGCAGAGGTGCAGAGATGCTGTGATGAGCTGAGGATACAGCGGCTGGGAAATACGGAGGGTCTGCAGGATATGGCCTTCCAAGGGGAGAGGTGGAGTCCCCAAGGCACAGGGTTTCACAGGGCTGAAGAAAGGGACAGAGAAAGATAAGGCACTTCCCAGATCCTCGTAGAAACCTGAGCTCTTGTACACAACATCACTCGTTAATAACACTAACAACTAACATCTGTCTACAGCTTTACAGTTCATAAAGCTCGTTCACACATTCGCTTTCATCCGTGAGGATGGTGTCATCATCTCTGGTTTACAAATGAGGAAACTGAAGCTCCGGAGGTTCTATGCCGCAAATACAGAACTCCCAGTCAAGGGCTGACAGCTGCCTCGCCCCAAGTTGCCTTTCCAACCTTAAAAGGCTCCCAAATGGCCCTGAGCCAATATCAGGGCACCCCGCATCCCACCCCTCGCCAAATTTCAGCCCAAGCCAGGTATTGACTGGAGTCCTGGAGCCAGGCCTGGGCCCCCTCAGGGGAGCTGGGAGCTGAGTCAGAAGCCAGATCTTGGAGGTGATGGAAGGACAGAAGCATGTGGTGGAGGGACGGGCATGATTCAGCGGGGTAGGAGGGGTAGGAGGAGGAGAAAGCCTGGAAAATGGGCTCCTGGGAGGGATATGCAGCTAAGGAGGATGAAGACCTGTAGTGGCACAAGCCAGACCATGCAACCAAAGGCTCTGTTGGAGCACGAGACTGTGTTCAGACGCATCAAGAACTCCCTCACTGCTCAGGTGCTAAGGCCCTGGGACGGGCACACAGGCTCTGCCATCTTGTCTCCTGCAGCCCTTCGTGGAAGAAAGGGACAGAACATCGTGTGCTGTTCCCCATCTTGGCATGTCCCGCCTTCCCCGTGCCGGTCTAAATCCCAGCCTCCTTCAGGGCGCCAAAGTTTCTCAGCGCAGGCATCCCAGAACACTAAGCAACTGCTCGGATGTCCTCAGCACTAGATTCATCTGCCCCACACTGTCCCCCAACCTAGGTCCTCTGATCCAGGTCTGGTCACCCAGTGGGAACCCTCT